GCAAAAAGGTGGGTACCCCCCCCCGCCTTTGCAAAATTCGCCTTTTTGCTCACCAAAACAGAAAAATTAGAGTTAGACCCCCCCCTGATCTGAGACCTGACTTACGCTCCTGCCGACCAGTAAACCGGCCGGACATAAATTGCTCTCGAGCCGGTGAAATTCCGGCAAATCGGACAACAACGGATGGAGTTAATTCTTTGAAAATTGTTTCAGATAGTCAAAATACGGTAAAAACTGACGAGGTGAGCTCCAGCAATGATATCAATTAGTTAATGGTTAAATGTCGTATCAATCATCTTTGCCAGAACTTTAACCATGAGATGTTGACCTGTCTGATTGTATCAAAGGTAATTTGATTAATCAAATAAATCAAATAAATAAATAGTTAACTCTCGAATTTCTCACAATAGTTAAAAGTCTGCTCTATAAATACATGCCAAAATAAAACCTGTCACGATGTATTAGAAGTAATAAAACTTTATCTATGTACATAGCGATGATAACTATTTATTTGAATTTAATTAATAAAACAACATGTAGTTAAATAGTTCGATTTTCGTGTTGACAACTCAACGAAACAGGTATCAAGCTGTCGTACTACTTTTATATATTAATGATTCCATTAAAAACATATTTGCATGCTATTAGTATTATCTTTCATATGTCTTTTGAGATCGAAACGATACAACGCATCATTTTTGTTAAATCTCCTTTGGAAAATAAATATGTATCAGTCCTCAGAAAAAACTGTGTATTGCATTATAGTTTTTAACTTGTAGATAGCTGGATTCTAATCATGTTTTTTTAAATAAAATATTTACCAAACATTGTTTATTTAACATGAAACGCCATCTGCAAATATCTACTGAAAATCTTTGCTGAACATAACAAATAAACATTATAACTAAAAGCTCGAATGTGTATTTAATGGAAAAAAATACCAGTACAGTGGCTCCTTTTTAACTGAATTCATAGTCTTTGTGTTTAGATAAAAACAAAAAACTATTTGTGACTCTATATCAACTACTAGTAGTTCCAAACGTATTCTCTTGTTGATATCAGTTAAATATATATATATATATGTATATAAACATTCCAGAAATATCGACCACGTTGTACTACATAAATCATTTTATTGTTTCGTGAAGCAAAACATCGATAGTTCTTCTTGATAGATGAATTTATTATCTCTTATTCTTTCCTTCTTTCTTACTATATTTTCATTCATTACGTTTCAATCTAACTTCATAGAATTTCTATACCAACTTCTATTCACAAATTTTCCACTAAAGATAAAAACAAAGGAATTTTGTGTATTTGGCTCATTGAATTAAATTTACAATGAAAGATCCAACAAATGAAGCTTACACAAATTTAAATTCATTTTCTCGTCCATACAACGATCAATACATTCAATTAAAAGATGATTTAGATAAATGGCATTATGAAATGATTGAACTTATTCAAGATATGTATTTAAATACATTAATTGAATTGGACACATCCTATGAACGATTGGATACATTTCGTCAAACACTTTATGTTCTACTTGATGATGAGCCATTGGCAGATAAAGCAGGTTTTATTTAAAAATTTAACAACGATTCCATAATAACCATTCGTTTGCGTTTAGTTTCTATGACATCATCCGACATAATAAATATCTCTTCTCGATTGTCATGGATTGAAAATGAAATTGATTCAATATCAAATTTATTTTTTCATATAAATTGTCAAGTTAAACTAACCGATCGACCATATCTTATTGATTCGAATGCATCATCGATTGTTCCATGTCGTATTTTAATAAAACGTGAGCAAGCTGATCAATTACCAAAATTAGTTAATAATACTCTGTATACTTTATTAACACATCCATCATCGCCAGAAGCTATTCTTGTATCAAATAATGTGCAACAGTTAACTTCCGTTATTCAACAAATTCTATTACAAACAAATGAATTACGTGTATTAATTCATGAATTATATGTACCCTTTATCATAGGGCAATTAGGGAGTCGAGCAAAAATGCTTAAAGAGAAATATGCATTGAATAATTTGAAAGTAAGAATATCATTTTTTTAAAACTTCAGTATTAAATGAATTGTTTTTATTTTCTTATTATTAGATTTATCCAACATGTGCTCCATTATCAACTGAACGTATAATTCTATTGACTGGGTCAAAACAAGGAAAAATTATTGAATGTTTAATAGAAATTTATCAAACACAATGTCAAACATCATTTATAGATCTGAAACAGCAAACAAATTTTCCGTATTCACCTGAATTTTATGATGTTTCATTAGTTGATGATTATGGTGGTTTTAATGATCGACAAGTTCAATTGGTTATGCACCGATCTATGAATACTTCTGTGATTGTCAATAATCCTAATGATGAAGAAGATTTAAATGGTTATCAAGATGAAGATATAGAAGATTTTGATAATGACATAAATAATTATCAAACTGAAACAGTTGAATCATTACGTGAAAGACGTTGGACATTATCCGATGCACAAGCTGGAGCTTTATTTGGGCCAAATTCATCACGTTTGCATCAAATTCGAAGTGAATCAAATGCTTGGATTGTTATTTATGAAGCTGAAGGGAAAAGTACAAGACGACCAATGTCTATTCGAGGTACAAAAGCAGAAATTGAACATGCAACAAAATTAATCTTAGAAACTATCAAACGTCATGATAGAAAATTACCATTAAAATATAATCATAAAGGTGGAAAATAATCATGGTAAGAGTTGAACATGCATAATTATATAAATTTAGTATCGTATTGAATAGATTGAATAGTTAGAGATATTTTCATGCATTGAAGTAACAATCATTCAACTATTGGTAATTCTTGAATTGATGAGCATTTCATTTTAGATACCTACTTGCTTTTTGTGAATATAAATAAAATAGATATATGTAAACTAACGATTATGCTTTTTTCTTGTTAATTTCATCTTTAATAAGATAGCTATGTAAGCTTTGAAACAACTGTAATCTAATATATTTTCATCAATACAACACGTATCGTGACAAATTAACATGCTTAACAATCATATTTTCTTATAATCTTTTACTAAAGTTCAACTCATGAATTTCAACTATCCTAGAATTTTCGTGAATTTGTTTCTCTGATGGAAATTCAAAAAGTAAACAAAATTGATGGCTATTTTTTCCATCGAGATCGTTAAATTCAGTGAATCGAAATGTATCTAGGTTTTCGTTTCAATTTTAGATGTATAAATATGTTTATCGATATTGCTTTTCATTTATTTCGTGTGGTTTTGCTGTTACACGTAAATTCAAACATAAGAACATTCTTTTTTTCTATTTCATTCATATCTTTTGATTTATTTAAATAAAAAGAAAAGTTTAAAACGCATTATAACATTTAACAATTTTCATATGCACATACGAGTTTGACATTGACAGAAATGTTTTCATATTCATGATTATTCCTCGTTCGTCGATCGACACAATACGAAATATGAACACTTTCAATCATTTGAGAGACGATCACATCTTTAACAGAACATGTGCCTTTGTCATATTTTAGGATCCTTGGACAAGTTGGTATTCTGTTTTAAAGTATAGAGAGTAAGAACAAAACAGGTCTGTCTACCACTACAATCTAATATATTTCATCAAATAAAAATGAAATTTAATTAATCAAAAACAAAGACGAAGACATAAACTATTGCTTGTTAAATATGCCACGAAAACATCATGATGGAAAGCCTGATAGTTTTTACATACCATATACACATTGATTCCCACATACGGCGAAAGTTTCATCTGATCTTAATGTAATTCGTTGATATCCGATCTCTTAAAAACAGTTTTTCAAGAAAATGATCGAAAAACTCAATTGTAATATCAAGAATTATGATTTATTGAGCAAACATAGAAGATACTTTATTCAAATACTTCTTTTTCTGCTATTTGTTTATTTATTGCTTCTACAGGACGCATACACGTAAATAGAAAGAAAAATAGGTGAATGAATATCATGAGTGATGTGATTCAATGAAGTTTGTGCCATTCGACGTATCCTTCAAAAAAAAAATGAGCAAGAAATTTAGCGTCTTAGAATATTAAAATATTTCTTATTTTACTTTTGATTGTAATTCAAGTAATTTAACTTTATTTGACTGTTCAGAGAGTGTATCGAGAGCTTCATGTAATTCCTAAAAAAATGTGACATTTAGATTTTCCTTGTATCAGATAACTGTTCAACTTTCACTCACTTGTTTTAATGTTTTAATTTCATAATCTTTTCGTGATAATTTTTGATTCATATCTCGTTTGGCTGTTCGAATTTTTGTTGTTGACTCTGATGAATAATGATCATGCAGTGTTGTTGATGACATTGAATTACCACTTCGTCGAATAAATTCATTTGATTGTGATTGATCAATATTCTGAAAAATATTACATATTAATTTGAAATATAGAGAATTCAGCATACTCGATTATGTTTAATTGATGTATTTAGTCTTTTTTCTTGATTTAAATGATCTTGGGTTTCTTTTAAAGTATTTCGAAGAAACAATGATTCATCGTCTTTAGATCGTTTATTAGTCTAGACGAAAAGTTAGAAGACAAAATTTTGAATGCCATAAATATTTCAGATAGAATATTAGAAAATTACTTCAAGATCTTGCAAGAGAAGATCTTTTTCACGTAATAAAATCTCTGCTTGACGTAATTTCCCTAAATCCTTTTCGTAATCAAGTAATAATTCTTCTTTTCGCGTTAAACGTTCACGTAACATCTAAAAATAATAGAAAATTATTCAAAATATTCATAATCGGACAAAAAGAAAAACTAACTTCAACTTTTTGCAATAATGTTTCAATAATGTGTCGTCGCTGTTGTATAGCAACATAACGATCCGTTGGTGACATTGTAGCTAAAGGTGATACGTTTAAGAGAGTATCGTCATCAATATCAAGCAGTTGAACTAGTTTTCTTGTCAAGGTATTATGCTAGAATAAGCAAAGATTTTAAAATTATTTCAGCAAAGAAAAACTCTCAGTCGTGATAGTACTTCCAAGGTGTTACAAAACCATTTAGAGAACATCGAAATTTTTAGTATTTTCAAGATAAAAGGAGCTTAATTGATTGGCTTTGGTGAAACTATGAAATATTTTTATTTCGAATTTTGTATTGACGAAAGAAAATATTTCGTACTCTTGCTGGCTCCACAGTACAATCCTCTTATCTTGAATCGACACTCTCGTTCATAGTGCGTCGTATTGATTGTTATAATCATCGACAAGTAGTCATTCATTATTTCTCAGCTATTCACAAGTATCTTATTTCGAATTCATAAATTTAGATCGACAATATGTCGAATATGAATCTTTTATGAGCACGTACAAGGGGCGATGTTTTTCAAGTAGGTTTTTGAAAAAATTTCGAAGCATAATTTTTGTAAATCAATTTTATCAAGAATGTTTTTTCTACTAAAAATCAAGAAAATGATCTTATTCTCTAGACAATGATAGCTACATTTGTGCGACTATTACAGGGTTCTTGAGATTTTTCGTAGATTACTGTGAAACATTGCAATATAATTATGAATGCCTGTCAGAAATGACGATGTTTATAATTCGAGAAAGAATATACTTGTTAGAAATATTTATGAATCAGAATCTAGAATAAATTAAGTCGATCTGTAAGAAAATACTAGAGATGAATAAACTCTTGTTTACCGATTCGAATTATATCGTCTATTGATATATTAGTAATACAAAAACTTACTAATTCGTCACAGGATTGTAATGCATTCATTGTTTCGGCATGAGCAGCTCGCTCTTCAATAATTTTTTGTGCTTCAGGCATTACATCCAATGTATTTGGTACTGCTGGTGATTGACGGAAAGAAGTTGTTGATTGTTGATGAAAAGAATTTGATCCTGGTGTTGTTATTAAATAAGGTATATCAGCTGGTAGAGATTGTCGTGCACGCAATTCAGCTAATTCACGTTTAAGTAAAACAACTTGTTGTAAAACCTTTTCATACGATGGATTAGTCGGTCGTGATTGTTCTAATGATTTAATTCTTGCTCGTAATTCATTTAATGCTTCGCGTTGTCGCCCAATGGTTTGATCATGCCGTTCACCTTTACATTGTGCACCAATAGCAACAAGTTCGTGAGTTATACGACCCTCAACAACGAAAATTTATATTAAAGAAAAAACAAACTATTAAAGTTCATCAAAAAATAGATATACTTCATTTTGATTAGTTTGCTCGACTCGCTCGACAAGTAAATTTTTTTCATCAAGAGATCTCGTCAAACGATCGATATCAGCTTGACGCTGATCAACTAGCAATTGGTATTGATTTGCTAATATCTTAGATTTTCTATCAAAAATTGAAAGTGAAAAATAAAAGCCTTCTGATTGCAACTAATTATATGAAAACATACGATAGATCCGATTGTAATGATTCAATTTGTGTAGATTGCTTATCAACAATATCACTTAACTTAGATAATTTTACTCTTGTATCATTCAATTCTTTAGTTTGATCACGTATTGTAAATTCACTTTTTTCTAAGGCTCTTTTTTGTTTTTCACTTAGTTCACCTTGAACATCCGACAAACGAGCTGTCATGCCTGCTAAATCACGCCGTAATGAAATAATTATTTGTTCTTGCTCTTGAATACGTGATTTGTGTGTAAATAATTCATGACTATACAATTGAAAGTTACAATATAATAATATGAAATAAAGTAAAATAACCTGAGATCCGCAACTGGTACAGATACGATAGGTACTATTGTTTCAGTGGACACTGGAGGTGTTTGCCGGTTAACTAGAAAATTATCAAATTTCGAAATTTGAATAAATTAGTTTCTAAATTTATGCATGTTGAGATGAGCATTTTTTAGTATTCAAACCAATTCTTTTGTTTCTTTTTAACAGATTTACATATAGAAAAAAACTCTGGTTTCAAAACTTTAAAATATCAAGAATATATTATTGTCTCTAGTCTTATTTTCTGTAAAATATAAACGAAAAAAATGAGTAATAAAGCTGACAAAGGAATTTTTCTTTTGTCTCAATGTCTATTTATACTGAAACATAGAAATAAATAAATAAATAAATGAATGAATGAGTATCACGGTGAAATATTTAACTAAGACTTGTAAATATCTCTCAAGTCTTTAAACAACGAGCTATGCGACTAAAACCTATAAGATTAATTGTAATGCTTAATATTCAATAGATTTTTCAAATCAGGATATTGGTCACAACATTAATAGATAAAGTTGAGGTAGCTATGTGTGTATATATATATATAATCCTTAATGATGAAAAACGTTTTCCTTCCTATAGTGATCTTGTAGAAAGAATCTATGTTTTTTTTACTTTCTTCAATAAGTCTTTATCAATCCAATATTAGTAGTCTCTCAATAAATAGCACCATCTTCTATGAGAATTCAAGAAAGAGATACAAGAGCAGTGAATAGAGGTGTGTATCAAGACAAATCATAAAAAAATTCTAGTTCGTAGAAAACCAATGTGATTATGAATAATAAAGTAATTTCGATCAAATTACTGAAGTCTATCGTTAGAAGTTGCGCGTTCTTTTTTTTTGATAGCTCAACGAAGAAATAGTAAGTTGAAAATTCTAATTTTACTCAATATTTTTACTTCAATATGGTAATCGTTGTTTTATGATAGTTTATGAATGAACTTTTCGGGAAAATACCTTTTCTATTTTTATCCACATTATCTAATTCTGTTTGAAGTTTGATACGTCTTTCTTGTTCTTCAGCTAAGTTCTTTTCTAATTGTATAATGGTTTTTGAAAATTGTCGAACTTGATCTTTGTAAACTTCCATTTGTCCACTGAACATTGAAAATTAGAAAAAGAAAAAACTTATAGAAACTAAAAGCTTACTTCAAATCTTGGATAGTTGCATTTTTCTCTTTCTCCATTCGAATGAATTCTTCTTTTTGTTTTTCACTTGAGCCTGTTAATTGTTTGTCTTGTTCTTTCTGAACAAAAAAGAAAAGATAAATGTAATGAAAACATTAAGAATTTCAAAAAAGACACAAAAATTGAACATACATGTTCATTTAATTCACGTTGATATTCCTGCAATTGCGTTGTTAATTCATTCATTTTTTGACTTGACTCTGTTTGAAGAATATTCCAGCGCTAAGAAAATAAAAATATTTCGATTTAATTTAAATGAAAAACAAAAAAATCTAGTTTAACACCTGAACGTATTCGCTGTTTTGCGCAGTTACTGTTTCTAGACGATCAGAAAATGAACGTGTTTGTTCATCATATTCATTTCTTAATTGAGTATTTTCTAGACGAAGACGAGCACATTCATCATCAAATCGTTGCTGCCAGAAAGCACTAAATTATAAATGGTAATGGTAAGATGTAAGCTAAAAAATGTTTTTCATACTCTTTTTCTTCCGTGACCTTTTCCAATTCAGAACGAAATGTTTGTTCACGAGCTGTATGATCAAGGAATAAGTTATCTTTTTCACGTTCTAATTCTTCGTATTGACGACGAATTAAAGCCAAAATTTCATTAGTAGCTTCAAGGAAGAAGCATTAAAACAAAATTTTATTGATAGTACTGTTAACTTACATAAATCTTCTTGTTGATTATCACGTTGTATTACTAAATTATTGATTCCAGATATAAATCTGACATGACTATCAACAATATTAATTGCTGCTCGTTTAAACATTCCAACAATGCTATCATTGTCAACTGCTTCTTCAAGTTCAATCATTTGCTGCCGAGCACGTAAAAGATTTTTTGCTGTTGTTTGTTCTTTAATTGCGCTTGTCTATTTAGAATTTAGACTCTGCTTTTTGTATTTTATTATAAATGACTTACAAGTATATCAATAAATTTGCCAAGTGAGCCTCTAAGTTGTTCATTTGAAGATAAATTAATACCACGTAGACGTTCAACTTCACTTTGAGATTGATCTAATTGTCGTTGAAGTTGTTGAATGCGTTCCATAATATTATGGTTATCTTCATCATATTCATCATCATCATCGTTTGAAAAACATTTCCAAATACTTATACAAAATTGATTGTACTTAAAAATAAAAATAGACAATTTAACAACAACAATAACAACATAATTATTATTTTCAGATTGATACTTTTTTTTCTGCATTGGTAACGTCAGCTTTGAGTTTAGTTTCATTTCGCTGAACTTCGAGAAGTTGCTCACGTGCATGTTCACATTCTTGTTTTAATTTTAGCTCATTTTGATTTAATCTTAATAATTGTTTTTCAGTATCTTGTAGTTGAGATTTAAGTCGATTAACACTTTCATTTAATTCGTTTATTTGTTGTTCAGCTAATTTTATTTTCTAAATTAAAATAGATCAATTAGTTTAAAACGTTTTCTTGAAGAAATAGATTTTATCATGAGCAATATTGAGATGTATAGAAAACAAGTCTAAGAAGAAGAAGACGAAGTTTACATTACGAAGATTTACAAGTTCTTTTTCTTTTGTATATCGATCTTCTTCAGCACGACCACGATCGCGAAGTAGGTTGAGCTACAAAAATAAAAGACAAGAACTTAATTATATCTAAGGAATGTAGACGAAAGGAAATCAGCGCTAAGTAGAAACCAAGCAATTCATAGTGGATAATGTAAAGAAAACCAAAATAAAACACGCTGGATACAAAATGATGATGTACTTTAAACATTCTTTTAACACTCACCTGCTATAAGGTACAGACGAGAGTGAAAAAAGAAGACATGCAAAATTCACAAGTTAAATTTTTCATTCTATATTTTACTTTAGCTTGCAATGATTGCAATCGAAGATCTTTATCACGACTATCAGATTTCATTCCTTCGACTTCTCGAGTTATTTTAGCCAATTCTGATTCCTAGTAATATTGAAAATACTATGATATTGATTCATGATGTCATTTTATTCGTTTACTTTTGCATGTAGATCACGTTGAACACTTGAAATAAGTCCTGTAGCTGCTTGCTTTTCTCGTTTAACCTTTTCTAATTCGCTTCTCAATGTATGAACTTCATTGGTAAATGTAGAGTTTAATGGCTCTAAACTACGTAGCTACGATGAAGAGAAAAAGAAACTAAATTCAATAATATAAGAAACAATTATTATATACTCGATCATTTAATTCACGAATCTCTGCATCCCGTCCTTTAACTTCTTTTTCAAGTTGATCAACACGATTTGTTATTTCAGTATTATCTTGACAAGGCACATCTAATTCACCAGTAAAATTTCCATTTATAATACTGCGACCAACATTTGAAGTGTTACTGCTAATGGTCCAAGCATTAGCTAAATTAATTAATAATTATAAACGAATAATTTCTACTTAATACATACGACGAACTAGAGAATCACGAATACCATTGGAACCATGACTAGATGTATTTGTTACGATAGCTGGTGCTCTCTTAGTTCCTGCACTTGATGGTCGACCCCTTAAGAAAAAAATGAAATTTATTGATCGATGGCAATAAAATTATTTTCTACCGAAGTGAAAATCCAGGATTTTGTCGAACATCAATTTGTTGTTGATGATTTGTTATTCCACTTGTTACTCTTCGAGATGGTATGGTCTGTTTTATGAGTTGTAGAGAATTTGATGATGATTGCCGTTGATATATGGATGGCATAGTTGTCTATAAACAAAAAGCAAGCTATGATATCTTTAATACATTATCGTAGAATGCCTCTTGCTGTTGTTGTTCAATTCTAAACTCAAGTGGTAAACCATTAAAACCAAATCTTATAACATCTTCATTGTTCAGCCGAACAGCTGCGTTTTGAACACGGCAATCATGTACGTAAGTACCTGTTGACGAATTCAAGTCTTTTAAAATAAAGCAACGCTGTTCATCATCAAATTCTATTAAGGCATGTTGGTTATCAACATTATTATTCTGTAAAAAAATAAAGTTAGATTTACCAATATAAGGAAAAATAAAAAAGCTAAAAAATGAATCATACATTGATGCTAATGTCACAATTTTCTCGTCCAATGGTTGTCACTTTGGGACCAAGAGGGAACGCATAAGAGCCATCTTGGCTGTGCAAAAAACCTTTCATTTTATCTATAATTGGATTGAGAACATAAGCTTAAAAATCATATTTTTGTTCGAATAGCCGTCAGACAACAACATCAATTAGAATACCTGCATTCGTGTGTAGAGTAGTTTGTTCGATTCTCTTTACTTCTTTCTTTTATAAAGCGATTAAACATCGGTTGCCAGGAATTTTAACATGTTTGCCATCGCCATCAGGTTGAGATGTTTGCTAGATCACGCAACCATTTGAAACCTAGTGTTCATTAGTTGCTAGGCTATTGAGAGTTTGTTTCATACAAATCGAAAATTAAAAAACCTTATATCTGATTACATTCTGTGACAGAAGCTATTTTAGAAAGTCTTACTAGAAAGTTTTACTAGAAAGTTTTGCAAGAGAAGTAATGTATATAGATGGCGCCGACGTTCATTTTCGATATTTTTCTCACTAAAATTAAAAGACTTGAATTGAACTTCCACTTTTCTTTTTCATATTTATATTTTAAACATTTATTGATGAATTGAAAAAGAGCCAATTTGAAAATTGTATTGGTCCATGCTATTTGTCTATACTAACCGACCCAAAAGTGACTACTACTGTTATTATTCTGTATGTTTTTTCGTTCTTTATTTCTTTTTACTATGCCATTGATTTTTTTATCCATATAATTTTGGCGTATAAAACGTGGCAACCTCTGGTTTGACACACTACTGTTTGCCATTTGAACTTCATTTATTTTTCTACACAGTTTTTTTGTACTCATCATTGTTATTGTGCTTTTAAGCTTTGTCCCTAGATTGATTCGGAGAGATAATTTTCCTCCTTATCTACCTGGATCCTCGTTTTCAAGGTAATCATGTTACATACAGAATTCCAACATCTATGATATGATCAATAAGAAACGACGACAAATACTCATGGATTCTTTTTCATACGACTAATTAATATAACAAGAAAAGACAGTCATCCAAATTTAGTTTTTATTCGAAATAATTATTTTTATAAGAATGAGCGACGAAGACGAAGATCAATTAAAGTAAAAAAGAAAAGAACTAACTATTTTTATGTTTATCTATATGTATGTAATTCTTTTAAATCTTTCTCAGTTCCAATATCACATCTCACAATACAGTTGATGTTCGTCGACGTTTATTAGAAATCAAAAATGATCTTCAAGGATTAATGCGTCAAAAAGTATTGATTATTAATTTAAAAATAAACTTTCTTTAAAAGAATTTTTTATATCTTAATTTAGAAAAAATACGATGAAGAAAAATTAAAACAAGATTCTGAATTTTTACAAACTGAAATAAATGCTTTACGTACTTCAATCTCTGACATTAACAAGGAAATAAATAATCAAACACAGACTAAAAAGAGATTAGTAAGAAAAAGTTTTCTTTTTTTCTCTACATACACATTTCAAAACGAAATATTTTTTAACCTAACTAGCATGTTCAAATGACAAATCTTCGATCACGGTCGAGACTTCGTTATACTAATTTAGCAATAGCACTTCGAGATAAACGGTTTGAATTACTATACGAGTATTATTTGACTTATCATTGTTGCTTTTTTGTTTATTAGACGATATGAAGCAGAATTAAAGAAAGAAAATAAAACAGACGAATATCGTGCACTAGCGCAAAGAGAAATTCGTTCAATTGAAACAGCGTTACCTGTTCTTCAGTATGTTCTTCTATGCATTTATTTTCAAAAAAAGAAAAAAAAAATTTGTTCAGAGAAGAAGATGAATATAAAGCACAGTTAAAAACAGCTGAAGATGCACAACAAGCTGCTACTATTAAACGAAAGGTTTATTCGAATAGTTTTTTTAAATTAAAGAATTTCATTTTTTGTTTATTTTTTTGTTCTTTTTCAGAAACTAGAAGAAAGCTTGAATAAAAATCTACGCAAACAAACTGATATAAAACAATTATTAAGTGAAAATGCAGAAAAATTGCCTCAAATTGAAGCCAGTAAGTGTAAAATCAACTAATTTCTGTATCTCATGCAGACAGTTTCTTTTTATTCAAAATGATTTTCAATCAGCTGGAATCAAAAGATAAAAATTGACTTGTGTGCATCGAGTATACTTTTCGCTCCAAATAACTTTAAATTATATTTTTAAAATTTAATTTCCATTCAGCTTCATTTCTTTTACTTATTCATAAAAAATGCCCAAGAAGAAAATGTTCTAATAAAACAATAATTCGTCTAGACCACAGCCTAATATACTATGAATAGGCTTTTCTATGTACGGTGATACTTATAATTCTAGTAAATATTTCTTTATTATTCAATGAATATCATGTGCTGTTATCGAAGAATATTTATGTACTATACTGCAACTCATTCTCAACTTTCATTCTACAAATATTTTATGTAAAAAAAGTAGTCGAAAGAAGATATTTTAAAAAAAGCCAGAAAAATAAAAGGTGTCCTTTCTCAAAAATAAAAACTTTTAACAATAGATCATTCTATTCAGATTTGAACGAGTTTAATTTGATCATTAAAATGTTTGAAAAATGACTAATCATTAGGGGTGGTACGTTAACCGTTTATTTCAACGGATTAACGTCGTGGGCAAAACCGTTAATTTTAACGGTTAACGCTTTTAGTTAATTAACACTGTTAATTAGAGCGAATTAAATTAAATGGTCCACCCCTACTAATCATTATAAGTTTATTTTACTATATAATAACTCTAGTAAATTGTTATAATGACTTTTAACTTTCAAACATAATGTTAGCAATTACATATTTTATTAATAGGCACCCTAGCAGACAAATCTTTGTAAAAAACGTGTTCAAACATTCAGAATAGATTTGATTTACGCTGATTTAAAAATAAAACAGTATCAAACAAAGAAATATTAAATAATTATTAGATTCAAGCCTTGAAAATGGCTAAAACTTGCAGATATGAGCATTTACATTCATTCTTTTAATCAGCTTCTATGAAGTCCGAGCGCGATTTGTTTTTGAATGTTAAAACATATTTTTCGAATTGGTGTCTGCTTGGTTAATAGATTGTTGTAAAAGTATTTCTTTTACAACTTAATTCATATTCTACGCATGATACAAAAGATTGAGCGGAGAGAATAGTGCACTGTATCGCATAGAATTGTTTGAATCGACTAGAGAATTTAAATCGGATAAGATGGAACATTTTTAAAGTTCAATCTCTAATTTCAACTATAGTATGCTCAAATCATTTTATCTCATAAGAGGTATCGTATTCAGAAAATTGAAAGATCTCATTCGATAGAATTATATTGTTGTTTAACTTTTAAAATAATCTTGTAAATCGAGCTATTAAAAAACAAGAATAGAACGTACGAATTTTTTCAGTGTTAAATGCTTGTTCTAGTTGTATATTTGTAAGATAAAAACTACTAGAAAAGTTTTTAAAAGAAAATGTAACTTTTAAAGTTATGTCGATTAAATAGGTTTTTAAGTTGTGACTGTTCTCCATCGATTATATATTGTATCAATCAAAACCAAAGAATCAATGGTAACATATGAAAAGATGTAAAAATCGAATAAAATCTTCACTGATTTTCGCTTAAAATATTAACAAGTTTTCTAAATGATTCTTATCTAGGGCCCATAATCAACATTTGAAAACATAATTGATCTAACTACGAATCACTTAAATTTCAATGATCTTTAATAGTATCCTACGTTCTAAAACGAATTAGAGAATGTAAATAAAGGACGACGATAAATCTAAATAGATTTTTTTTTATAATCGATCAAGTGTAAATAAATAGCGAAGAATGATAATAAAAATATCAATTAAATTAATGGATGACAATGAATTGATATAATTACTATAAACTTTCAAATAAGAATTCTTCTTATAATGTGAATTTTCAAAAGAATTCATTTACTTAATTAGTTGAGCTAGAATGAAAAACAAAAATTAAGAAACATTGAATAAAACAAAGGTAGAATCCATGTGCGATCTGAGAAATACTTCAACTGCTAACTCTGAAAAATATCTAAATCTAATCTTTTAAAATCTAATGCAAAGTGTACAAGATAGTTCTATCATCAGGAATATTATATGACTGTAAAGTTTCTAAGATGATAATCTTTTGTGTCATTTTATATGATGTTAAGAGAATGTAAGTTTGACTTTTTTCTCATGCGAGATATTGTATAAATCTGTTTAATGAGATTGTAGTCTGATTTTATCGAACATAAATTCTTGAAATTCGACTTTTCGATCTGAATGAATAATTTGAGTTCGGCAGGAAAATATAATTTCTCTTATTATTATATTTTTGAGACGTGTAAAATTGTCTCTTTAATAAATTCAAATTGTATTGCAAATCATAATCAAATATTTATTTTAAATTCTTTTAGCTATAGAAAGTTTACGTTGTGAACGTGAAAGTTTATTATCATCTGCTACTAATGCACATTCTACGAATGGAAAAAAGTGCCGTCGCCGTTTACATTCTAACCAACAAAAATCACTTGACTCTCCCACTGCTGCCGCTGCTGCTCAAACGCCAATTCGAGCATGTGTATCTTTTGAAAACGATTGGTAACTATTTATTATTATCATTATCACTAGTAAATTTTCATTTATTTAGTTTGGAACATGAAAAAAATCAATGTGATGATCAATTAAATAAAATCAATACATTAATAAGCTATTTTCGTGATAAGTTAACAGAACACGATCTTAGTAATGATCATACATGTGTAACGCCTTCATCAGAATTAACATCACTTCTCTATCATCCATTAACGCCTCATGAAGAGCAAACTATCCTCTCGTCATACATGGAAGATCGTGATTGCGACAATATTTTATTATCAAAATCAACTACAACGCAACCAACAGCTGCTATTGCTATGAAGTTACCACGAAATTTTCTTCCGTTAAATTTGAATTCTGCAAGTACCAATGAAATAATTCATTCACCATATTATGCTGGAAACGAAATTGAATATAAGAAAGAATTATCATCTGATATTGTTAATAAATATGGTGGACATCCAAAAAAGAATAAACAACAACTATCATCAAATATTGGGAAAAAAAATAAGAAACATAAAAAGGTAAATTAACTAATGAGAAACAAAAACAACAATTTAAAGAAAACTTTTTTTCTCTTGATATTTGATAGAATTTTGCTATAACACACATCCCTCAAATGATTGCGTTATACAATACTGTTCATGGTTCAACTGGTAGTTATGATACATTACCATCGATGCCAATGTATGAATATGAATTGGTTCCTACAATTCAATCTCTTGAATTTTTACAACAAAGTCTTGAATCTTATTTAAATGAATTATCACGTCGCTATGAAAATAATGTAAAATCATCAAATAATGATGAGGATGAAGGGCAAAACAAATCTGGCATTGATAATGAAGATGATGATATTCGTGATTCGGCTTTGGACACATTCTCTGAAACATCATCTTTAATAGAACCCATGAATATAGCGAAACAATTAGCAAGTCCTAATTCAACATTAATGAATATTCTTGAAGTACGTTCATCTGCATCATCAGATGATAAAAAAACTATTAATTCATCTTCATCACCTCCATCATCAAATCACAGTGATTCAAAAAAAAATAAACAATTAACTTTAAATTCTTCATCAACAAAACTTGAAGAATTAAGTTCTCATTTGCAAGATATTCAAATTGACCGTCAAATATCTGATGAAGGTTATCGTTCAGTTCGCAATGACCAACAACAAGCTACAGGAGTAGCGTCGAATCATTGTTTACCATTATTAACTAGATCGCAAAGTTATGATTCTACCGAAAAAGTTGATCAATGGTTATCAACTGCAACACCATTGACTTCATCCGTACCTATGTCAATAAGTTTTAATACTAATTTTCAAGTATGATTAAATGACTTTTTTATGTGTATTTTATCAATATTTCTTTTTTGGTTTTAGCCAACTGATATTGATGATGAGGAATAATATATTGAAGCATGAAAGAGTCTTGACACATGATGATTAGTATTCCATGATGAATCTAACTCGTCCGTAGCAGACACAGTGATTCATTTTTCTCTCTCTTTGTGCTCGCATTTCCTGCCAGCTTCCGACTATTTTCTTCTCGTTATTTTCATTATGTTTGCTGCGCACTTATTACTAATCTGGAAATCAGACTTATTAGATATTTTTTTCTACTTCAAAAATTGATAAACAAAAGTTGTTGTTTTTTCAATCTAAACACCTGTGATTTATTTATTTTTTCTTCTTTGTCTTTATTTATCTTAGAATTAAAATTCTTGTTCTATTTTTCTTGTTATCATCGAACTTTAATATGTTGACTGTTGAAGCGTGATCAATGGAATTTCTTTTTCTCTGTCCTTTTCTTTTCTTTTCTTTTCTTTTGTGCTCTGTTCAGCATCATTGTTTGTATATTGATAAAAAAGAATAAACCAGTGATCAGTTTAAGAGATTTAAACAGATATTTAACGATGAAAAAGTTGCCTTGGAGTTTTTTTCTTTGATCAAGTAGAGAATATATCAATTTTTGAAATGCAAATATCTGGTTTTTATATTCAATCTATTCGATTTGAATATGTTCAGATTCATTCATAAGAGAATAAAGTTGTATAAACGATAACCATGATTATGTAGTATCTTGTTGGATTTTAATTTTTAAGTATTTTTATTAAAATAATAATCTATCATTTATACTCATCAAGTATTGATAGATGTTTTGTTTTTGCGTGCTGTGCTTTAGTTAGTTGGATTTAAATATGAAAAAGTTGCTTTTCAATACATAAAGTAACAGTTACGAAGAATGAGACAGATATTTCAGAGTTTTTCTTCAGAACTATTTGATGCTTAATAAATAGAAAATATATTCACAAGGATTAATTATTTACGACAAATGTGTGATATTCTTCACTTTTCAAGATATAACTATGTTCGCATTCGAAACAAACCTGTTGTCTGAAGTAATTCATTCAATTTTAATCAATATCTATAAAGTGAAATACTATACTATTATCTATTTACGGAAATTATTTCATAAAATTTACTGCCAATCAAGCATTCCGATTCGTTTTCTGCCATAATAAAAGCAATCTGCTTTAACTAATATATACTAATTTCTTTAGAAGAAAAACTTCGTGTATGAATGTTTTTTGCTATAACTTGCATCATAGCGAATGCAGTTCATCAGAGTAAGTATCAAATCCATCAATTTACACAACTAGAAAAAAAAATGGTCGATGGCTTTAGATTTTTAATCATGTCTTTTGAAATGTTGAGCATCTCCTGTTATGGACTCTACAGGGAACACTGCGGTGGACTTATTATTAAGCGAAACTCTATGTTTTTTTAGAAAAGACTTCAGACATTCATGAGCAAAGTTTTACTATTTACAAGACAAATCTGATGATTATATCACAATCAAAATAATATTTGACTATTACCATTGGTTCATATGATCCTCTAATCTTTTTAGTCACTTATTACTGGAACTTTTTGATTTTCTGTTCTCTTGCCAGTAGGTATTGCTCAACTTTGTTATCTAACATTGCTACGTTTTTCGCGTACCTTCTCTGTTAGTTTCAAATTTTGATGTTTTCAATAGACTACATATATCTAAGAACTGACTTTTGCCTATTCTTGTTTTGCTGTTCATTTACAATATTCGAACAAAAGATCATAAACGAAACGTACAAAAACAGATAATTAAGTATTTAACAACTTATAAAAAATAAATGTGGAAACTTCGGATTTCATCCGAGAGTTATGTGTACTGCAAAAAGTGCATGGGACATATGAGTCATTCTAGAATGTCTGAACGCCAAAATTATCATGAGAAACTAGGCACTTTGGTTTCTGGATGCAGTTTTTGTGCATTTTCAGACCGTTTTCAGGCGATGTTTCGTTAGAAAGCTACGATTTAGTTCAAAACTAGTATCAGATTCGGAATCAGCGTTAAAAACTGAGTCGATTTATATATGTTGTGAATAATTCTGAGAAAATTTTGTTTTTGGAAAATCCCTGTACTCCCCCTCAGGGATGGTCTGATCAAAAATGACAATTTTTTCGACAACTCAGCCATTTCTTGACGGATCCTTCTCATCTTCGAACTCGACCTAGATATTGATAAGACAATTCTGTGCACAAAATTTCAGCTCAATCGAATGTAATTGTGAAGAGTTATCGAATAAACGGACGGACGGACGGACACACTGACCGATTCTATAGTGTACTCTTTTTTTTTGAGTACACAAAAAGCTACGATAATCTTGATATTTATCTATTTTTTTCATAAAAATTCGATAGTAAGAACTAATATTGATCATCGAAAGTTTGACTCAATTTCAATAATAATCTATTTTCTTCTGATTGACAGCAACAACCTTTGATATCAATATCCATCTTTTGAGCTATGAATGATAGAAAAAAGTGAATAATCATAAAAAATGGTCGTTTCAAAGCGAATTTGAAAAATTTATTTTTAGTTCTTTATGACGCTTCGACTTCTTTGCTGTAAATATTTCATGATAATTTCATGAATAAAAATAGATTTTCTTTGACACCGATACCTTATTATTATTAATTACAAAGAACTTTTGCAGTTCACCTGACACCTTTTGCGCTTTTATGTTTCAATTTTTGTTTACTGATCAAGTCACACATCATGCTACAGATCAACACTTGACAAATCTCTTTCAGCAATGATTGAATTATTTTTCTTCTTTAGCAATTGTCCATGTTTAAACAACACTGACTGAATCCGTTTTTTTCTGTTTTTCTTCATGAACGAGGAAAAAAGAGACGACATTTCACATTGAAGAAGCATTTTTAGCTGTTTTTAATGCATCAATCGTATTGTTGACAACAACGGAGTAAGTACATAAAGCTAAGATTTTCTTTCTTTAGAAAAAAAAATCTGTTCAATAATTTTGGTTTCTTTTGCTGTTTGATAGAGAATAGAATTATTTTTAAGAGATTTTAGAACAGCACAGTCTCTTAATTGAATAGGTACTGCTAAGTCTTTATCAGAAGATATTTGAAAAATGAATTAGTCTAGTAGATCTATTTTTAGAATCGTAAGCTCCATACAAGAGAGTAACGTATTAGCATAAAGAAAAAAGAAACACAATAGAAGAAGAAATCATAAAATCATTTTTATAATCACTATCATGTAAATAAAAATCTTCTCTGAAATAGAACGACCTTCACTCACGAATCTACGTGTCGTAATAACTAAGGAAAGGTTGAAAATCAATTCATCTCTTGGCAAAATTTTAGTTTTAACTAGTGCATGCACATGCAGATGTGCCTATTATCCGGGTGTTCGAGTTGAAATATTTATAAATATTGAAGATGAATAATACATCTGTGCTATTAAAATCGTAAAAATATTTTGCCAAATCTTCAAATCTATTAGGCTTTGAGGAAATCATAGACTTGGAGTTTTCTTTTGTTGGAGCCGGGCGTTATAATAACTGAATACAATGACTTCATTTAAATTTTATTTTTTTCAGAGACTTTTCTACTTCAAATATGTTATCATCTTGAAACATTGTGTGATTTGAGCTTATAAAATGTCTTCCAAAATCTGAATGCAAAATAAAATCCAAATATCTATTGAAGCAGTCAAACTATTAACTTTGATTTTTTTAATAGTTTTATTTAGCATTGGTTGAAGTTGTGTTTTACATATGTTTTTCATACGTGTAGGTATCTATTCTTTTCCAAATAATTGCCTCTTTCTACTCTGTTTAAAGAAAACTGGTTGTCGGAATAGTACATTTTATCGTTAAAACACAAACTAAGTTCAATTATATTGAAAGAATATACAGCTCATCATGTGTAATTACCGCAATTTTAAAAGAGAAAAAAAATTACAACATACTAGAATGTTCCTCTATATTATCAATCATGTAGTGAAAAGCGAATAATCGCTAATTAGTCTTTTTGAAAAGATTTTTTAATAGATATTCACTTTTAAAAGCTAGATATTCGTTTTAAAAAAGCATGGTGGCCGTGAAGTGTGCAATTTCTGCTGCTGTTAAAAAGTTTTCATTTGGTTTTCAGTGCAAAGTAAATTTGCTTTTTTGTGTACTCAAAAAAAAGTGAATACACTATAGAATCGGTCAGTGTGTCCGGCCGTCCGGTCGTTTGCACGATAACTCCTGGAAGGCTGATTCGATTATCATGAAATTTTGTACATAGCATTATCTTATCAATATCTCAGTCGAGTTCGAAGATGAAAGCAATCTGTCAAGAAATGGCTGAGTTATCGAAAAAATTGTCGTTATTGACCAGACCATCCCTGAGGGGGGGGGGNTCAAATTGCCTAGTTTCTCACGATAATTTCGGCGTTCAGACATTCTAGAATGACTCATATGTCCCATGCACTTTTTGCAGTACACATAACTCTCGGATGAAATCCGAAGTTTCCACATTTTTTATTTATCAAAATAAACGTGATAGAATGAGTAAAAAATTCCTGATTCTCGCTTACTGCCAAAATATGTGTACTTATATCGTTATGTTTAATACAACAATTTCATGCATCTCCTAACTAGCACTCCTTTTTGTACGTATTTCTGCAGTTCCATGCTGATTTAAATCGCTCTACTATTTGACATGCTGCTAGCAGGTACGTGTACTTCTAGATACTCTAGTTTGTTTTCATGAATTATAATCAAGATCAAAATTTCTGGCTTCCGATTTCTCAGTTAGTGATTGGTTTCATGTCAAAAATAACTTTAATGATTATCGAATTTAAATAAGAAAACCTTCAAGGACATCATTCGAATGATCAAAGAAATATTCATAGTTTTTACTCCAAGAAACTTTTAAAATATGGCTTGTACTGAAAAAAAGAACTCAAGGTACATAGTTTATAGAAGTGAGAAATGAGCTGGTTTTATCAAAGTTTCAGTCATATTTTCTGAGAAGAGAAACAAAGCTGTACTTGTTAACTTTCTACTGTATATTTTAGTAAGAAGAAGAAAATTCAAAATCTTGTTTTTGTCGTAGAATAAGAGTTAAAATTAATATTTTGAATGTTGAAGCACTTCGAAAATAGTTTAAGATTTTATTTTCTATACTTAATACAAATCAGTTAGTTAATTAAGTAAGCTGTCTTTAGTTATGTTTCATATCAAATTAATGAATAGATGAAAAGAAAACGATGATAAATTTCATATTATTTTGAAAGAAAATAATAAAACTTTTATAACAAGTGCTCAGATAGAATGTTGATTTAGCTAGGAAACATTTCTATTTCAATCTAGGAAACATTTAGATTGAATAAGAACTTCAAACATTACTTTTTATAAAGTGAAATGTCTCATGAGTAAGCAATTTTCATGGATATCGCTTATATTTTGAGTCAATTTTATTTTGATAGAAGTTGACTTTCTAGACTCTGCAGCGCATCATTCAGCGGCGTGAGTAAATACTTCTAGTTCAAACTCTGATGGCTACTTCGAATAATTCACGAAGCAAAGATAATTATAAAAATAGAGATGTTCGGCGATCATTTGTTGCTAATTCACTTCCCCCATCAACGACAGAATCAAATGTACAAAATGACAATAGAATTAATAGTGCAGATGATAACTATGAGACTGTAGTTTTTATTTGGTTCGATCCACATGAAAATATTAACACGAATCTTGTTGGGCCACTACGAATGATTAATGATAATGTTCAAACTTTTACCGATTCATTAGCTTGTTTTGATATTTTGAAAAGTTCGCAACAAAAACTTTTCCTTATCTCTTCATCGACTAATAATGAACTGATTGCTACTGTGCATAGTTTTGTGCCTGTTGAAGCAATTTTTATACTTAACCAAAATGGTGATAATATTAAAGGTGATTTTCCAAAGCTTTTCGGCATATTTACACAACAAGAAGAACTTTTTCGAATGCTCAAAGAAGTCTATAATACATTCGAAGAAGTTCAACTTGAAGAATTCACATTTGAACAAGATCTGGTGTTCCTTTGGTCACAATTATGGAAAGAAGATGTAAGTACGTACGACAACTATTTAGTTTACAGATTACAATTATTACATTTAGATTTACTTTATTCTTTTTTGTACATTCGATTAGCAGAAAGGTTTTTTCACTTTATATTTTAGTTAAGAAGTCGGAAAATTTCATCAAATAAAGCTGGCCTCATCAGCTTGGCTCGGCGTATTTATCGAGACAATCCACGAATCATTGAAACTATTGAAGAACTAGAAAAATCCTATCGAGCTTCTGATGTCATCACTTGGTGCTTTCGTTCTCCATTTCCAACACGGCTACTTCTTCATGCACTTCGTTCTCATAACAAAGCACGACTTAGTGCCTGTCGATTTCTATACGCCGATGCTTCGCGTTTCTTTCAACAACATGCCAAGCATAAATCTACTGAACAAGTTTATCGTGGTATGAAACTATCAAATGAACTCCTTGCTAAATTCGAGACTCATGTTGGTCAAGTCATTTGTACTAGTGGGTTTTTTCCTTGTACGAAATCAAGAAAAAATGCTTTGACACTCGCTTCATTACCGGCATATCGTCCTGATCTTCAACCAGTTCTATTTAAAGTTGATTGCGATGCATCATCTCTATTCATTGAAATACCAAATAAAAACTCATCACCAAAGATTGCGTTTGATGTTTGTACGACATTTCGTATTGTCTATGTTAACCGAGGACCTATGTCAATTATAAAATTAAAAACGACTGGCGAAGCTGGTAAAAAATTTGCTTTAGATTATTTAGAAAATCATCCGAATGAAACGATACAATCACTAGTTGATGAACTTTTGAAACCTTTGAAGCCTCCAACTCCACCACCTCCGCCTCTGCCTCCACCTCGACCTCGAACAGCAACACTGTCTCCACCTCGAATACCAACACCGCCTCCACAACCCAAATCTGCGTTAGTGCACAGTCAAAAATCTTTTCTTTAGACGAATCTGAATAATGCTTCAATTCTGTTCTTTTTCTACAGAGATCTACCCATAAGTGCTGACGAAATGAAGGCGCAAAAATATGTTGAACAAGGAGATATTGATTTGGCATTAATAAATTATCGGCGAATACAACCTACTACAGCTCGCATACTCAATGCAATTGGTCTTTTATGTGCTGATAAGAAGGGTGATTATAATTATGCTTTACAATGTCATCAACAAGCACTTAAACTTCAGGAAGAAGTAATTTGATTATTTTGAATAGATTACGAATAACATTTTGCTATTTTTTAATAGTCTAATGAGGATATCTCTGACACTCTTACTTACCTTGGCAATGTTTATCACAGTCGCGGTGAATTGGATTTGACTTTAGAACATCATAGACGTGCACTTACATTACGTCAAAAAGATCCAACAACAGAAACAGTTGCACTTGTCTCGAATTTTATTGGAGTAGCTAAGTGTCATTTAGCTCGGCGAGAACATTCTGAAGCGATTAATAACGCTGAACGAGCATTAGCGTTACAAGAAGTTCTTGTACCTTTAAATGAAGCAAGTATAGGTGCCACTCTCATTCTCTTAGGTAACATTTATCAAGACTCTGGCGATAACATTCGTGCTCTTGAGATGTGTACAAAAGCGCTTCCACTTCTTGAACGTACTGTGTCCGACGGTTCATCCATATTAGCTGAGTTATTTTTCAAACTCGGTACCATGCAGTCAAGTTTAGGAGCGTTGACTGATGCGCAACGTAGTTTAGAACGATCTTATAAAATTTACAAAAGATTAGTTCCTAGAGGGCATGAAGATCGTATGTTGGCAGAAAACGAATTACGACGTGTTCTTCAATTACGACAAAACAGCAAACAAAAGTCACAGACAAATCCTTGAATATTTGTTTTCTTGAAAACGAAATTTGCAGTGTAAATAATCGGAAATAGTTAGTTAGCTAGTTACATAAATAAAGAATTGCTTTTCACTTATTTAGCATTATTAACTTTTGTGAGTGTAACATTATTTTCTTTTAAACTCCAGTAGATTTGATACGTGAGATATTGAAATCACAACAGAGGTTGTACAAGGTAAAACATGACGATAACCAGTACAATATTCATTTATTGTCCCCTCTCGTTTTTCGAATAACAAAGTTTTTATTTGTGAAATTTCAGTGATATGTTGCAGTTCAGGTATTCTATACACTGACCTGATTATAAGCATTTTCTAACGCGCTGTTTACTTTAGAAATGAAAGAAATGTGCATACTATACACATTCTTGATAGATAACATGGATATTTTCCACTTGCTAACTAAGATATTTCTTTGTAAATCAAATTAATCTGGGCCAAATAAACTATTTGTCTTTTTCTAATTAGTATAATCGTTTCTGAAATTCTGCTTACATAAAATCTTCTCCAACGATCGCCTACATCAGATGATCACGTTGCCGCAATTTCAGTCATTTTGAATAAGTTACAAATCAATTTGAATTATTCTACTGTTTATTCTATTGAATGGTTGATATCGCAGCTAGGCTATAAACTACTATTCCACACGCGGTACTCTCAATAAAAATTGGAAAGAGGCATCGTAATTGAAATAGGTATTCCTCATTTTTCAACTTTTCCTAAAGTATACGAATAGTGTATAGCGAATTCAATAGAATAATTTTTCAGATTCTCAGTTGATCCTGAACGACAACTAGATAGATTTAATTCTCGAGAATTTTCAACGATGAGAGGGAAAATATTTCCTTTGCTTGTTGTATAGCGGTAATAGTTACTTTTGTACAGTAAAGAAACACTGTCTTACTCACGATTAATTGTACAAATGGATCATGAAATACAATAATACATCATTGAAATCTCCATACACTTATACAGGGGACAATAATTCCTACATCACTCACTTCAATAGTTTCATAAATAAAAATTGCCTTATGTCGCATCAATTTCAATCACAATCTTACGATGCTACTTTTTGTCTATTCCATTCGATTTTTCATTGATTAGAAAGACGATTTGACTTTTATGATGTCGTCATCAGAGAATAACAAAATGTGTCTAATAAACAAGACGGAGTGTGGCACTGGTTCTGGATGATTTTACGAATTCAGTATAACGTTCCTGTATGTTTTGAATATGAAATAGGCATATCATTTGATTTTGTTTTTGAAATAATCAAGTAATCGAATGTTTTAATAATTCCTTTTCTGATGAAAAAAACTCATTTGAAGTAATCCTAAACCTATCCATCAGTTAGTTTTTCTCAAACAATCGACGATTTCATACAAACTCTTATGATTTATTTGCAAAGGCAACAAAAATATATCGATCAACCAGTTTAGAATCATCTTTAAAATGGATAGTTTGAAAAAACCGATTGAATGAATCTTTTGGATTGGTGTGAAATCATTAATCAGACAACTCCCGATGCATGCTTTAATTGACCCTAGTGTAATAATAACATAACACTGAACACTAGCCTACTCTAAATAGATCTGAATTTTTACACAGGCATAACGCTGTGTTTCGACGAGAACACTATGTCTCAAATAAATCAGTTACCATGTTGGTTGATTTCATATTACTATAAAAATGATAATATGTCATTTTAATGGAATTCACGTGATTCTTATCTTCTGAAATCAAATTTTTGCACCGTCAAAGATAGTTTCATTTGAGATTTTTAATTCAACAGCGATAGTTTTATCTATTGAAACGGATAACACATGAAGCGCGACAAATTTACTGATTAACATTAAAAAAAGTCAGTAACACAGCCGCAAACAAAACAACATTTATCGCGTAAATTTCTTCTTTGCTTTTTCATTGCTTAAATTTTTGAAGATTTTAACTTTTCGTTCTTGTTTTGGTCGCATAAATCCCATTTTCGATTTCGATCCTTTTTTGCTTTGATAAACTCCTAAGAATCATAATAAAAGATGTTCAATAGAATAAAAGTAGACAAAAACTAATCATTGTGCTTTACCAATATCAACAACAGGTGGAACACGAAAACCAAAACTATAAGCAACTTTCACCAGATCCAATTTTTCAACATCGTAGACATTTTTCATACTATGACTTGCGTAAGCTCTTACATAGGCTTTATATGCTTCTTTCGCACTCAAATGAAGAAAATAATTTTTTTCAATCAATTTTTCCAGCTAGAAAAAGAAAAGAATCGGCTAGGAACAAAATAAGGAATAATAACAACAAACTTGAGGTTGAATATCGGCAATTTTATTCCATGAAAATTCAAATTCACTTAATGTTACTCGTGCTTGTTTCAGATAAAGAAGAAAGCCGAGTTCTTGTGGTGTTAAAATAAGTAAAGCATGACCATGTGCACCAGCACGGGCAGTTCGACCAACACGATGGATATATTCCTAAAAGAAAAATATTTTGAAGATTGAAAAGTACCAGGAGTATAGTCAGTTATGAAAAGATTTTGATTTGTAATGTCTTAGCGTCCATATATTATTAGGTTAAAGAGAGTGAAATGGTGGTAAAGCAAATAAGTAATAAAAAGAAACAACCTTGTCCAGTTTTTACCAGACTAATTTTTCGAATTTAGCTTATTTAAATCAAATTTAAAAGATGAAAATTATGTCAAACTGTGGCATCATGCTCTAATCGAATAAATGAAACTTTTTAATAAAGAAAAATACATTTGAAAAGTGTTAGATGGATAGATGCACTCAATGAAAATACATAACAATTAATAGATTGATTATCTTATATACTAAATGTAATCTACACCTGATCAACGTGTTTCTTTATTTGTTTTTGTAATATAGACATCTCATATTTTCTATGTTTGAATACGCATGAATGAAAACACAATTGAAAAATGAGAATATCAAAAGGCTACACGAATTGAAAAAAATCAAAACTATTATTATCGTCGCAGATCAAAATGAATAACTTTCATTGGATCATAGAAAACGAAAATATCTTTCTGCTTTTTAAAACTCAATAAATATCCTCACAATAACGTTTTTTAGTACCCTGTACATTAAACAAATTCAACTAAAATATTTACTTTTGGATCATCTGGAGGATCAAATTGAACAATCCAATCAACAGCTGGAATATCCAATCCTCTTGCTGCTACATCCGTACATAATAATATTCCAGTTTCAGCATTACAAAATTCAAAAAATGTATGTGTTCTTTTAGCTTGTTTTTGTTTTCCCTGTAAATGAAAATGAAAATTTTCAAATAAATAATTCTAATAGAAACAAAAAGATAATTTACATGAATACTTAATACAGGTATATCGATATAATTAAGTAATTCATTATAATATTTCACAGCCATACATGATGAAAAAAAAACCATCATTTTTTTCTTTTGATTCTTTTTTAAAAATGTAAATAATAAAAGAAAACGCTTCTCTTGTGAAACAACAACATAACCCTACAAAAATAAAAACAATATATAACTGATTAAAACATTTTTTTCTCCGAAGATTAAAATACTTGTTCAAGTCCTTCAACAGTAGCTTGTTCACATGTATCGTCAACTCCAACATATAGTGGTTCTTTCTTAAGAGACATTTTTGCTAAATCTTCAGTACGTCGTGTTTGAGTAGCAGAAAATAACATCGTCTGACGCCGTTCTATGAAATGAAATGAAATCAAATAAATATTTTTTAAGAAACTGAATTTTATTTGATATACTTGGCAATAATTGAATAATTTGTTTCATCTCTTCTTCGAAACCAATATCTAAAATTCGATCAGCTTCATCAATAACCAAACATTGTAAATTTTTATACATAAAATCTTTTGTATTCTATGAAAGAAGAAAACAAATCAATTAAATTTTTTATCTTTATTCTAAATTAAATCGTTACTTGAAGATGATCCAGTAAACGACCTGGTGTTGCAACTAAAATATTGACACCTTTAACAAGTTTTTTAACTTCATCTTGTCGTCCTGTTCCACCCATGATTAAACCGTATGTATGATGATGATAAGCTAAGAGTTCTTTTAGAACCGAATAAGTTTGCATAGCTAATTCACGTGTTGGTGAAATTATTATTGCTCCAGTACCATTACGAGGCATAAAACGTAGTTTATACATCAATTCAACGACTGGAATAAGAAAAGCCAATGTTTTGCCAGAACCTGTTTTAGCCGAAGCGAGTAAATCACTAAAATTATAACCGAAAAAATAAAATAATTGTTGAATTTGGCATTCAACATGTATTCATCTTTTGAAAAAATTTACCGGAACACGAATAATTTCATTCAAAGCTCAGGTAATGAAATCTTTTTTTACACTCTAACAAATTGAATAACCCAGCAACAGCCATCTATTACATTAGTATAATTAAAATTTTCACAGATTTAGAATAAGCTTGCAATAGCAATCAAATATTATAGAGAAAAAAAAATTTAGGTACTCGTTGACTTCATTAATTTTATGAAAACATCTTCATTAAAATAACATTGTGAAATTTTAGGTTTGGTCTACTTCAATCTATGCTTTGTTGAAATCTTCGTTTTAATTTAATAGAAAATTAGAATTCAAAATTTTTATACATGGACTAAATGAGAAAAGTTTACTCTGTAACTATGCAATCTGTTAAACATTATACTCATAATCATAATAGAAATATGCGAATAATTTTCTATCTACTAAGTTTGAAATGAAATCATTCGTATTATAGAAAGGGCTCTAAGCATATGAAAAGATCTTGATACATTTAAAGTGTTCCAACAGTTGTTTTCTTACCGTCCTTCGAGTAATGGTCCTATAGATTTCGCTTGAATTTCAGTCATTGTTGTTAATTTCATTTCACTAATTGCCTTTATAGTTGAATCCGAAACACCACGTTCACTTAATGAATCGAAACTAACCGAAGTAAGATTACCACCCGATACCGTAGAACCTACAATATCAAAATAGAGTTTTCATCTTACATCATGAAATACACTTCACGCATGAAGAACAAATTTTAACAGAAACCATCGCTTTTCATAATTCGGACTTTTTGCAAACGAGACGATTTTTGATTTGTTTCCAATTATAACGAAGGCACCATTCATACATAAATATCTGTCAATCGATCTTTTGACTATCCGCATCCATTGAAAGTGTACGACTTTATTTAAAATATGATAACTAGTTCGCAATGATCATAATTAAATCTGGCTGAAAACTGTCTTTTCTGTTAGTTATTCCTAAAGATTTTTGTGTATAAGATTTATATTTATTATAGAAACAGATCTAATCATGTTGCGTCATCTCACAAAAACCCTGATCCTATGAAAAAATCTATGAAAGATATTCCATTTTGTTTTCATGATTATGCGATTTTTTACCTTATTGACAAAACGATTATGTTCTTTTTCTCGTAAAATAAAAAACATCCATATAGATTTCCTTTTGTGAAAAAAACATAGACTCTATTTGAAAACAATCTTATTCTCTATATAACTAACGAGAGAGCCTTCCCTCGTAAGATACTTTACGCTAACAATGTTGTGATTTTAACTTTATTTAATCGAACTCTCGTATATGCAAAACTGTGACACGTCAAATTGGCTTCTGACTTTTGTAAATTTTACAGCTATAAAAAGCTTCTATTAGTGTTATGTTAATAAAAAAAATGCTGATGCGTTTACCAATCGTTTCGACTTTTGTTTCATCTTTAAAACTAACGTCATTTTCATCAACATCTGTTGTTATTGTTGGGAGATCTTCATCACTGCTTCTTTCTTCGTTTTCTTCTTCTACTTTTTGTTTTTTTGCTTTCTTTTTATTGATTGTTGGTAGTTCACTGCCATTTTCAAGTTTCCGTTTCTTCTTTTTAAGCTTGTCTTCTGAAAAGCAAAGAATTTGTTGCTTATTTTTTTGCAAAGGATACTAAAATCATTTAATGAAATTTCATACTCTTTTTCTTGTCATTGATATCAACAGCATCTTTGATTTCAATTTGATTTACAGACGACATTTTAAAATGAACCAGATGATCTAAAATATGATACACTCAACAAGCTTCTAGAATAAAACTTTGAGAAATATTATTGGAAAATGAATTTCTCAATTTGTACGCTACTGTGACCAATAAATAATTAACTTGAACATAGCGACATCTCTGTCAATGAGAATCACGCCACTATAAAAAAAAAAGAAGAAAATAATATATTTCCTAACATATTACATTGTGTAATGATATAAATGCAAATATTGTTCTTTTTGGTTGATATGTTGTCATGGTGAATAATCAATAAATGGTTCTGATCACTCGGTAATATTTAACTAGTTGTTATTTTTGTATTTCATTGAAAGTCAATAGAATCGAAACTACATCATAATGGGTCCAAAAAAGAAAGGCAAAAAGAAGAATAGTGATAAAAAGAAGAAGACAGTGACTGAAGAAGGTGCTAGTGGTGGACCTGAAATACAAATGGAACAAGGTACTAAACAATTTTATCTTACCCAACTTGAAAGTCTTCAAAAGAAAGTTACTGAGTAAGCAACGTTTTTTTTTTTGGATTTTATCATGTCTTTCGCTCTTCTTTTCAAATATAGTTTACAAGAAGAATGTGACATTTATCTAGTTTCTCAACAGAAGAATTCTGAGCGTTTAGAAACATTGAAAGAAATTCGTCTTGGCTCTCGAGCTTACCTTGGTCGTCAAATGGATGAAATTAATTTCGAAATAACTCATTTGAATGGTCAATTGCGAGAATTAGATGAATTAAAAGAAGCTGAGCGTACTGAATTAACAAAACAAATCAATGATTTAAAAACCAAAGATTTGCAAGAGACGAAGGAGAAGAATGAAAATGAAAATCATATGTTAAGATCAAAGTTAAATTCTTTAGATGAGTTAAAAACGAAAAAAGAAACTTTATTAAATGAAATAAACCAATTAGATGAACAATTAAAGCAACAAGAACATGAATACCAGGAGGATATTTATCATAAAGAAAAAGACGCAGTTTTAGAAAAAGACAAGTAAGTTTATCTTTTTCTGTTTTTATTGATTTCAACGTGAATTGAAGATTTATTGAAACCAGAAAACAAAAAATGAAAACTCCAACATATGATTCGAAATAAAAAGCATGGGATATATATATAATACCTTATACTATTCTTAAAACTTTCTACACTTTAAACAGAAGGAATTGTGTGTACAGCTCAGTTGTCTATACAGTTCTAAACGAGAATAGAGAACACATTCCTTTATAGGTCAAATAAAAGAGACATAATGCCAGGCGTGCAGTGTTTTGATACGCGAAAGGCTTCAGGAAAAATACAAGTGCTTTAAAGATGATTTTTATCAAGCTCAACTGCAGAGAGCCCCATGTACGTGTGCAACATTGTAGATTTCAGTTATAAGGTTTTATGTAGTCTTTTTGAAGTTTTTCAAATATATATAACTCAAGTTTAATTCTCATAAGAATCAACTAATTAAATTACTGTTCAAATGTATTTAAGTTACTAATTTAAGGTTTTCATGAAGGCTTTTAATTCATTTCAAACACTAACGACTGCTTATCAGCTGATTACATCCCTATTTTTCTTTGTCTATAGCTAGATTGTATATTGGCGATGTGTAAATATACATTTGCTGTTGTTAATATTTCTAAAATTTTTCGGATGCTTGTGGAATTGAACGAAAGTATTATACAGCTTCGTGAAAATTTTTCAGAATTCGGAATTTCACTACGTGCACCTAGCTGCTTTATCACATCAAAAATATTTCTTTCTTTTTCTCAAGCCAGTATTTGAGCAGATGGTTATCATGTATCTTTGTTAATTTTGCAATGGTTTGCCAATATCTCTTACATTTATCGTTGTATGATCATTTTTCCCTAGATTGTTTTGGCAAACATGTCTTCTTAGTCACGATCAATAAAGAGAGACAAGTCTAAAAAGTCAATTAAACAACCATCGAGGACGTATAGAAATGAGCTCAGTACTGTAGGAAATACACGTTATGACTAGTTTTTTTTTCAAAAATACTTTCCAACGAAAAGCCGATAATAATTCAATGTGTTTACAAGTTATGCATAGTCGGGCTTTAACGTAAAAACAGCAAAGGCTATGCATATTTTAAATGTACACCGATCCGCTTGATTTATAAAGAGAATATTAATCCTTTAAATTATACATATTTATTTAGATTACGCAAAGAAATGGGTACACGTGTAAGTGATTTATCGTCCGAATTTCGTCGTGTATCAAAAATGCAAGTTGTACAAACGACAAGGCAAATTATCCTTGAAAATGTTCGTCTCAATAATCAAATGGCACTTATTGAAAATGATTATACTGATTTTGAAGCTAAAAATGGAAACATTCGTGAAGGAGTAATAAAGAACCGATTTCCAATGAAATAAAATGTTCTATTGTTATTTTTTTAGAAAAAAACTAAATCACTCGAATATACTCTACTTGACGAACGTGAACGAATGATGGCAAAAAAAAATCGCAAAACATATCAATTAATTGAAAAACTAAGCGATGAATGCACGGCCAATGAACAATTTATTTCAGGCCTCGATGAAAAATTATCTTCATTCAATTATACACAACAGCTAATTGATGAGTTAGAACAACTAAATGAGAAAACCGAGTAAAATTATATTTGAAATGTTTCTTTTTTGTTCTTAATTTTCAACATGCTCTTTTATTTAATTCCGTTTTGTAGAACACGCCGGAATCAAGCATTAGAAGAAAATGAACTATTACGAAGATCTATCGCAAAACAAGAAGATATACTTTCAGAATATGAACATGATATTAAAAAAGTGAAACATGTTATTGACAACACTGTTCAAGCATTAAGTCATATTTTACAAGTTTGTTTCATGTTTTATTTATTTTACTAAATGTTTCTAAAATGAGTTTATAGGAAATATTAGAAATTTCTTTTTAATCTGTTGAAGCTAAACGATTACTTGACTAATTATGTGTCAATTGTGAAAAAATTCAAGCTTTTACTCGTACAGTTTAGATTATGATTGGATCGTTTATCGTTGTTGAATAATAATTTAAATTAAATACAGATAAAACACATGTCATATGTTAAGTGATCAACGATACTCGCTGAAGATTTATAATCATACAAGACGATATAAATTCAAAATTTCAAATCTAACATCTTCCAGCAAATAACGAAACATATAAATTCCTATCAAAACACATTTTCTAATACGTTAGTTTTCATTGAAAATAAATTTGAACAGCTATGAAATACTTTTGTCTCGCTGCTACGTTTCATGATTCAGAATTCGATCTATGAACTACCAAATAAAAACGAAATTTTACTTAATATTGACTAACTTCAGTCGTGGCCAATAAAATTTGTGTTCAAACAGTTTGACAAAAAAAAATTTCACAAACATAGAGCTACCCATACATACATACATATTATCAAGATTGAATAGATTTGCCGAAAATATATTGCGATGACACATGGAAATTAGAATTACATGGTACATGGTAATAAGTATTTTAACAGTTGAATAATCTTACGTAACAAATGTTACTTATATATATCTAAGATGCACCCATAATTATATGATGTCTATGTTCCCAGTTAGTAGTGAGAAAGAATACTTCTACAGTTTGGTACCTTGCAGTAGATCCTACTGGATACTGATAGATGCAATAGTTTAATATGTTTCTGACAATAAATTCTAGTTTTAAGTTCTAGCCAAATGATCGATCTGGTGCGAATGCTTTGCATTCAATTACTTTAGTTTGTCATACACCTAACCTAAACCACATTGCTAACCATACCAGTAAGTGTTTGTTAGAGTGCATTCAGCGCATGTTTAGCGGATAGATGTGCCAAGGCATAAAATGATAAGTGAAATGATAAGAATAATCTTATGGTTGTTAGTATCATTATCTGAACATAATACGTTGTAGATACGTGTCACACAACATATTAGCTAACGTTTGGTAGCGGCAAAAACAATAGCTGTAATGTTAGTGATGAAAAACATAACTACTAAGGTGTGACAGTTCTGAAGTGGTCTCTATAAAATTGCTGCTTAATGAAATAATACTTTAGAGAGATTATCATCTGACCAGGCCGTTGAACAACCATGATTAGATAGTTATTTCGACTATTGTTCACCCAAAAAAATAGATCTACAAATTCATTTAGTATATCGTGATGATTTCAATTTAAAGTCAAATGATGATTAAGACTTTTATTTTCAATAAAAAAATAAGTTTCGTTGTCATTGCCGTTCATTTAAATAAAATTTGCTTGACTTTTTGTAAAACTTTGTTTGCCTATATCTGAGTAATTTAATTTTTTCGAAACAATAGATAAAATATATGATATCACTAACTAACTATGAATACCAAAAATTTGCAAATCTTTAAGACTAATATGCAATGTTCAATGTCAAAAACCTGATTATCTAGAATGTGGCAAAACTTTTACTCTCTAAAAAGAATACTTTTTATTAATTATTATAATATGTAAATCCTATAATATAATATTTTCTAAGGGTTCTTCTGAAACATTGGAAACTGGTCGAAAAATCGATATTCGTTTACGTGGCTTCGAAAATATTCTCAAACTTCTTAATGTTGCTACACAGCTGGGTATCGGACCTAAACTAAATGATTTAGCTGCAAAAAATGAAAGTGATCCATTATCAACTACGATTGAGGTTGATGAACTACCTTCACCAAGACAACCATTAGGTGCTCTCAAAAAATTAAAAACAAAATCAGTTGCTGTTCAAACAAGTGTTTCTAATCGAGTAGCAGCAATTTAATTTTATTCTCAATAAATATATTATCTTTCTCTTATCTTCTAGAATCCTACTTCATATCATGTACAAACTGATTCATCAATCGTACCACTTCATCCATCAACAGTTCCAAAACGTCGTTCATCTTTACTTTCTAATTGATTCTATCCTTATAATTATTGTGCAATATCATCATTCATATTTTTCTTTAATAAATTCTTATTCATTCTTATTATCCAATTATTTATCCAAAAACGTTTTTGTAGATTTTTGTTTTTCAGACTTCAAAAAGAAACATGCCTCCAAAGAAAGAAAAAGGAAAAAAAGAAAAGAAAACAATAGCTGTGCCAGAATATGTTCCCGAAAAAAAATTGAGTGAAAATGATAAAAAATTTTATACAATGCGAATTGAACTACTTGAAAAACAATACGAAAAGTAAATAAATATATATTTTTTTAATATTAGTTCATGATTTTCCTTTTATATTTTTCTAAAATTAGATACCAACAGCGATGTAGTGATTTAAAACTTCGTCAACAAGCAGAATTGGATCAAGTGAAAACATTAGAACAAGATTTTGAGATGCTTAAATATGCAAAGAAACAAGTTGAAATAAAAGAAGAAGAAATTGCTGATTTAAAAGATCGCCTAGTTGGATTAGGACAAGCAAAAGAACTTGAAAAAGATATGTTACAAAAAATATTAAATGATTTAAAAAATGAAATTCATGATTTACGCGAACGGTATGAAGCTGAAAACAGCGAATTACGTACGTTATTCTCAAATATACAACTATTACCTATTTTTCTTTAATAAAATGTTTTTTTTGTAGGCAATCAAGTTGCCGATTTAGAAATATTTCGTGCTAAACAAGAAAGTTATTTAACTCGACGACAACAACAACAAGATACTCTTAAATTTCGACAAGAAGATCATGTTAGAAAATTAGCAAGTATTAAAAAGAAAGATCAAACTGATCGAGAACGGTATGAATTATTTAATGATTTCATTTCATAGAAAATTTTCTTTTTCATAGATTAATAAAAGACATGATACAAAAAATGAATCATGTTGCGGCCGATTTTCGCCGAGCATCAAATAAACAGATGGCTGAGACAACAAAGCGAACAATCAACGAAAATGCTCGTATCGAACAAACTGTCAATGAAATGGAAGATATCACAAATCGTGTTCATCATGAAAATGAACAAATTCAAGATGCAGTATGCATATAAACAAAAACAAATATGTTTTTTTTTCATCTCCTTTTTACTTATTTCTTTATCAAAGAACAATCATTTGCACATGGGAGTTCAAACTTTAAAAAAAAAAGAACAACAACATGCTATTCAACATGCTACTTCAGCCGAGGTTTATTTATGATTAATTATTTAAAAAAAAGAAAACAAAATTCTCTTTTAAGATTATTCAATTACTTGCAAATATGTTACAAAATCAAGAAGAAATCATTGTAAGAAAACAGGAAGAAATTGCACACGTCGATGTTGCTGAAAGACGCATTAAAGAATTACGTAATTTGATTTTTAATAATGAGTAAGTATATTTTCTTTCTTGTTTTATTAATTAACTTTTGACATTAAACTATCTTAAAATACTTTTTTTACATTTTAGAAAAAATTATCCTGAAATTCGTCAAGAAAATAAATCGTTTAACGAAAAATTAGATGAACTTAATAAATTAGTAGGTGACGCAACAAAAGACAAAGCTATTATACTTTCCAATTTGCGACGAGCTGTTCTACTTGTTACAGAATCACTTAAGGTTAGTTACTATATGACTGTTGTGTAGAAATTCCGAATCAGTAACAACACTACAATAATGACGAATAATAATAATAGTAACAAAATTCTTTTTTGATAATGCATTTACAGAACATTATTAGTCAAAGTTAAAACAATCTCTTTGAATTAATATTGCGGTTGCAAGAAATTCATGATACAGTTCGAGAAAATTGAAAAAGATTTTGTTTCACGTATGGTTAAAATCAATCGATGATCACTAAGTGCAATTTTCAGATATTTTCTAGAAAGTCACATAACAAAATCTCAATGAATGATCTCATCCATGAGTCAATAGAATATTTATATACTTCATTGACGACGAGTTGTAGGGCAACCATGAAACTTAGTGGCACTTTGATTAGATGTTCAAACGCATATCTAGTTTTTTCAAAATTTACTGGTAACGTATCACCGAAGACGTTTGCCTTTAAAAAGATCGATTTGTTTCATAAATCACCTTAGAATGATACTAGTATTTATCAAAGACAATTAGATTCTTATACTATCTATTTGTATGATCTTAGTTGAAACATAATTGAATGTCGAAAAGATCCGAAGAATTATTTTCAATAATAATGAATCGCATAATAGAAATTTTTTTTCAGGCATACTATACAATATTGCAGGTCATATGAGACTATTTTTTTAAATATCCTACCTTATGTTCGTTCTTAATTTAGTACGGAACACAAAAACATCTTCATAAAAAAGCATCTTAAAACATATTCAGTGCTTGAGAGAATGCGAAAATTAGTTTGTAAAATTTGATGAAATGACTCATATAATAGATTATTGATCTTTGTTCCATACATGATGATACTTTTTCGTAGGGATTTAGATAATTAAGTGATAGGAATTGTGAAGTATACAGGAGAAAAAGAATTTCTAACAATATCGAGTGTAGACCTTCATCTAACTAATGATTGTTATTTGGGCGATACTTTATCTCAAATGCGTTCTTTGTCCATGATTATCGTCGAGAAATTATAAAACATTAAATTTACTATCTCCTTTTGTAATCTATGGACGATTAATTTACGTATGTGCTTGCTCTATACGTGAATAACTTTGAATAAAATATTTTCTTTTTCTCAAATGATAAATATTAATAATAATTATATAAAATTTGTCTAGATTAAAGATGAAGAAAAAGCACTCGTTCCAATAGAACAAGCAGGACAAACTATTAATCCTGAAACAGATGGCAATCTTTTTCAACAACTTCATACTATTTTAACAAGTAAAGAAGAAATAGATGTTGATGAACAACAGCAACAATCGTCGTTTATTGATATTACTCGTTCAACATTGAATCTTAAGTAATATAAAAGAAATTCTAAATAAAATAAAATAATGATGATTATGATAGAGACCCAGGTAAACGTCGCGATAATCTTTCTTATTCACTTGGCGATATTGGTTTTGTTCCACGGCGTGATGCTGTTCTATTAACAAATTTTGATAAAATGCAACAACAAGTGTATCCAGAACGCGAACGTGACACGATAAGACGTGCAGCGAAAAAATCAGTTGCTGTACAAACACCTGGTCTTAGTCGAGTATGATAAATTATAGAACCATTTCTCGTAAAATATTCCTTACAATTTTTTCTATGTTTCTGTTTAATCATTAGGGTTCCTTTGGTTCGGATGTATCTCTTGATCGTCTCGGTCCATTTGATAATGGTATAAATAAATCCACCCGTGAACAGTTTAATCGACCAACATTTGGACCAAGACCTCGTGTATCTAATGCTGTATCAGCTACAAATCGTATTGTGCAATATCTTTTTTGATATGAGAACAAAATAAATAACATAAAGACTTATAGAAATTAAATGACAAACAAAAAAAAAAGAAAAAGTATAGGACAAGGTTCAAGTATATAAGAAGTGTCAATATAAAGAACTCAAATTCAAGGTTATCGTCTGACAGTTACATTTGAAACGGAAGACATTTACAATAGTCATGAAATGATATTTCTATTTTTGTCAAAAAAAAAGTTTAAATATCGATATTGCCAGTAAAATGTCTTTGTTGTTGATTTTGATATTGATATCGGTTAAAATGTTGCTGCTGTTGTTGTTGTTGCTCACTCATTCTCATTGACATTTCTTGGACTTCTCGTGCTTCATGTAAACAACGATCAAGCTGATCTTCGGTATCACCATTATCGTCATCATCATCACGTTCATAAAATTTAACCGTAAAATTAGTTGTTCCACTTTCATCATTTATTCCATGTTGTTGGCTACTTCCAACAGCAACACGCTCTTGACTTGAATTTCGTTTGTATTCAACTGTACGAACATTTTTTGAATTTTCACTTGGAATATATTGAAATGGTAAATGATGAACTTGTCCATTTGAACGATTTGATTGACTTCCGATTCGTTGATGTCGTGGTAAAACCGTTGAATATTCAACAGTTGTTGTCGAAGGTGATAAAATATCATTATCTGGTATTTTTCGTACTGTTAAACGTTCACGAAAACGTTCTTTTATTCTTTCACAATAAGCTCTTGGTTCTACTTGTCGTTCTCCATTATCGTCGAAATGCCAATTGTCACTTTCATCATCATAATAACGTTGATATGCTTCAGAAAAAACTTGTTGTTTACACAAATTACAATCAGAGAAAGATTTTGGTAATGAACGACGACGATTAGTATTATTAATGGTTGAGGAATAATCTATTGTATCATATGGACGATAGATTCCATGCGCCATTGTAGTACGATTTCGAAAAGGTATAGACGTATGATGACCATAATTAATACCATTCATAGAGCTATGATGAAGATCGAAATCACTTCGACTTTCACGATGATATCTTCCCATATTTTGTGCAAAAGAAGAAGTTGATAGAGGATAATGAATACTTTGAGATGTACTTGCACAATGAAGAGTATTCATTCCAGTATCATTTATAATCGGAGGTGGTAATGGTGTCACAAGTTGAGCACGACTCGATGTGCCACTTGTGTCTAAATAACGAGAAGATAACGTTTTGCTTGTTATAGTACTCAATACTTGTTGCTGTTGTTGTTTACGACGTCGTCTGATGTAAAAAAAAAAGAAACAGATTTTTTTTCATTTTAACATTAAATTTCTTTTTCAAATATTATAACTTACTGACACAATAGTGCAAGAACAATGACGAAAAGCAAAAGAAGAACGTAGGCCAAAATAATTGGAATTATAATCCAAATATCTAAAGAACAAACAAATTTGATTTTAATTCAAAAAATAAAATGTATGTTTTACTTGGTACTTTAGTCCATCCAATAGATTGATATCGCATTCGACTTGTTGTTGCTGGTATAATAATGGGTGTTGTTGTTGGTAATGGTGGTACAGTTGCACATGGATCAGTAAATGAGCAAAAAGGAATTGTATAAAAATAAAGTAAATAATGAGTTGAATGATGTGAATAAATGTTTCCAGGTATGAATGTTATTTTCATTTCATAGGTTGATGCTGTTAGTCTTTGTGTAGTTTGATTTCCATTCAATGTTATATTTAATAATGTAATACCTTCAGATGAAACACTTTCAATTCTTAATTGATCATGATTTAATTGTCCAGTAACAAAATAGAGAACTGTTTTATGATATGGTCGTGCATATATTGTTGTAAAACATGGTACACGTGGAGTTTCTAATGGATAGTTTCTAGAATAAATAAAACCATAATCATTTGTTAGTGAACCATTTTTACAAATGTCACATTTTGTTTGTATGTCACGTAAATTCCATGTTGGTACACAATGGAAACCAATGTCTGTAACTGCTTTAAAGGCACATGAACTTCGATCACGTATCTGATAAGTAGGAATATCCGAGCAGTGTGATTTTCCATTACACAATGTATTTACATAACGTAAATCATATGTATGGCAAGCATGAGATAAGTCCGGCTGACAAGAACTCGGATCGTGACCAAGACGTAATGGAAATGAACGAATATAATCAATGGAAATAAGATATTGTGGAACATTGGATTGCCACTTTTGATGATCAAGCAATGGCTCGTGTGGACATTCAATAGATATTAATGAATGCGTTGGACATACTGTTACTGTTCTATTGGGTAGTTCATATTCAAAAGCTGAAAATTAGGATGAAGAGTAAAATTAAAAGGTAGAACACAAAAGAGTTTAAGCGTCTTACGTTTAGCATTGACTGTTAGTGATATGTTCTTGATTATATTGCACAAGGCAATAATAAATATCAAAGATGAATATCGAGCCATAGAAGTTTTTCATCTCATTTTATTTTTTTATTCTTGACTAAATGACCATCACTTATATAACGATTCAATTGGTACGTGTCGATGTCTATATATGTGTGTTCAATGTAAAATTATGTCAAATGAGAATGGTCCTTCGTATGAAAAGCAAAAAAAAGATAAAGGCAAAGGAAGAAAAAAAGGGCACAGCGATGATGCTACTCATCTTCGCCCACATTAAATACATGCTCTCACACCTCCTCATACATCTGTGCACACGTTTTCGTCTTCATCTTGTTACGTCGACATTTTCACAAAAAACCGCATAGGTTGAAATAGGCAAGTGAGAGAGAGAGAGAGAGAGAAAGAAAAAGTAACTAATCCTTTCTACGAGATCAACTGCATCGATGATAAAATAACAATCATGAACAATTGATAGTGAAACTACTCTCAGTAACTAACACAACTGCGATTTAAAAAGGATATGTTCAAGTTAATTGGACTAGTAACTGACGTGATCAATAAAATATGTCAATTATCATTGTCAAGAACATATTGTTAAGACTTTTTGTTTTGATCATCAAATATAATGAGAATGTTTACATAATTATTAGTAGGTCGTGTTTCACCGATGAACTCTTGATTATACTGTAGATTGGTGTGAATTGTAAATTGATATGAAGTTTCGTGTATAAAGGAGTGTTTGCTGGGTTACTTATCGTAAAAGTTAGCGATGAATCTTTTTAATTGAAGATTTAGATATGAAATATTAAAATGTCATCTAGTGTTTCTTTTTTCGCTATTATAGTCTTATATGAATATAACACAATAAATACAATAAGAAGAAAATATATACACCTTAATGAATGATGATGCATTGATTTAAGAAAAAGAATCAATATATTTGATTAACTAATGTCTAGTTATAATTACATTTATAAATATGTCAGCATAACTCTTTGCAATTCAAGAAAATTTTGAAATAAAATTCTGTCAAATAGTTCTACCGTATCATTGCACATAAGATATAGTATACCCAACTAATACAAATTTGTCGTTTTCTTAGTATTACCATCATATTTTAATTTTGATCATATTGATGACGAAAAATCTCCTCTTATTCTTCTATTGATGAATATTTGAACTGCTGTGGGTCAGTATATTTGTTTAGAAAATTATATAATAAATTTTTTCGAATCATCTCATGTTCTTGTGATAGTAATAACAAACCGTTTCGTCTATTAATGCATTAATGATCTTGACATTCGTTTGAATATGGGCTTTTTAACATATGAAAACCTTACAAATTCTTTTATTTCTCCTTTAATTTATTTCACAGCGATAGATTAGTCAGAGAAAATAGATAAAGATTTATCTCAATGAAATGTAATCGTTAGGAAATTCTTTTCATTTTCAACTAATGATACAAATATGAAACTAAATAATTTATCTAATGTTTCATCATATATTAAATAATATCTTTTGTATATCATATTCATGTATTTCGATGACATTGTAGCGAAAGAGTTTGCATCTATCTTTTGTCAAATGGAAATATTCAAAGAGAACCGTTAATTTATTAATTTCTCGTAAAATTCAAACATTAATTTGTATAGTTGCATCAACAAATACCTAGTTTGTACGGCTTTTAAGTCAAAAAATCTTTAAAAATAAGGTTAACATTATATTTAGACTTTTAAAACTCTAACAATCATTTCAAATATTCTGACAATCATTTAGGTTGTTTTTTAAAAACAATCTCTCATTTCACAAATTATAAAACTATATAAGTGATACTCTAGGATACACAGCACCCTAAATATTTTGTACTCCTCATTCTATCGTGAAGAAGAGTTAATTAATTATGTGCAACACAATATAGTGAATAGAGATCGAAATGTTGCATCATTAACTTGAACTCTATCATATGTCTCTCTGATTATCTTCGATACCAATGCTGATACTGATGTCACTTATACTGCTGCTATTTATAATACATCTAATTCAAAATCTGTGTTTCATCTCTGGGGCATTTAGTATTATTCAACGTTTTTCTTCTTCTAGTAATTATTCTATTAGTATTCTTATTTATCATTGTCTCAACCAAATGAATGGAAAAAGCGAATTTGTTTGATATAAGTGATTCCAGACGTAGACGAAATGAGTTGAACGATTCATCGGGTTTTTGATATTTGTAAACTTTCAAAATCGTTTTGATCGAAACACACAGGAAAAAATTGCTAATAACGAACAACATCTTTTTTTCTAAACTAACTATAGTGTACCTTGCCATCGAACAGATTTCATCAATGATAAAATCAAGGCGGTAACTTTTGTCAAAGAATTCAAATATGTTTTTCAACAAATTCAATCACATTCTTTATATTCTACTATAAACCAAAATGTATTGTCATGACTTTTTGTGTTGTAAATAAAACAAAAAACACGTGTGAAATTTGTCATTTTATCTTTTTATTACATTTCCTTGTGAACTTAATTCTGACTAAATCATATTTTATGCTGACAATTATGTTTACAGCAATTAATAATGAGATATAGCGCTCGTCATGCCGATTCTCTTCGTCTCTTTTTGCGAAAGAAAAGAGGACATTATTGCAATTAACAAGAAAAACAATGACTTAAACATCTTCATAGTTATTTTATTGCTAATCTTGCCAGTCATCGCACATGGAAACTCATATATCTTTCAGATTTTCCTGCAACATCTTCTCTTGTATAGATCAGAAAACTGAGCTCTAATTTAATCGTTAGCACTGTTGTTGCCTTATTATCTCTTATTGTTATGTGTTTGTTTCTTTATAAAAAGTCACATGAGCGTTCTGCAAAAGTTATCTTATAAATTCTTGATGAAAATACTTCCTTCGCTTTGAATACAAGTTTTGCCAGTCTTATCTAAATATCGAATTAGCGCGAAAGTTATGAACAAGTGAGAATTATGCATGGAGAAACCATGATACTGCATACTTCACGTACTTTAAGATACTTTGAGATATTTTAAGGTACTTTACCGTACCTTAAAGTAAAAAAGTATCACGTTTCCCCGTTGGTCCGGGGCCAGATCCATAAATTCTTGGACCCGATGGACTCTAAGTCTGACACGAACTGGTATTATGTATCCTGTAGCCAAAAGTTCTCATAGAATCAAATCAAATAATATTCTTTCAAATTCTTTGACTATCCAACTAACTAATAGTTCAAATGAAGCAATGAATACCGTCAAAACTCAATTTAAATTAAAATTTATACTTTTCAAACAAATCCTTTTATTGTTTATTTTGGGCAAAAACAACTAAATGAATAATTATGTTTCAACGTGATCAAATCGACAGTGATCATGAACGTATCTTAGCTCAATAAGTTCTAATCAATTCATCTGATATATTAAGTTCAATGAATATTCATCATTTATCAACAAGTTATGATATAATTTCAATTATAAAGGAAAATTTGTATCTTGAGATAAAGTAAAGATAGAATTTATTTCAAGTATGATATAAAAGTCACGGCTTGCAACTGATCAATTCAGGGGTGAGGGTATTCCCTACTCTGATTTTTTGATTATGAAATATATTCTGGTTTCTTTTTGACTTAATAGAAGTTTGCCCAATGGCCTAAAAATCCTGGTTACGCCGCTGGTGGCAGGGCAAAGATTGGCAATGGTAGGGCGGCGCCCTGCCATGCCCACCCCCGGTTACGCCACTATCAGGAATAGTTTTAGTGAAAATCCGCCTGTGACGATTTTAGATAGAAGAGATACCTGTGCTGATGGTATTACATTTTATTTCACTCTTCAAATCATAAGACCGCCTCGATTACATGTAAAGCATACGCTTAAATACTCAACCATTTGAGAGAACGAAGGAGAATGAGAGATAAAGACAAATATCAAGGACAGAAAGATAAAGGCAATATATGTGATGAGAAGAAATGGCACCATAAGGCCAAATACTATGCACAGACCACACTCGAACGGGTGCGTTACACTCTCACGTGGAATTTAGACACTCTCAGCATTTATCGTTACACCGCCTTCTGTTGAAATTTAAATTAGGAATTTAAATGATACTCCTAGTTAAAAAAACGTCGTTAGAATCAACAAAAACTCGACATCATGATTATTAAGTATCCATTCTGATTTTTCTACAAACAATGAAAGATAGAACATTTTTTCGTACTGAATAGTTTTTTCTTCTTCTTTGACTGTTCATTTAGTGATTTTTTTCCAAGTAGTCTTTCGCATTTTTTATTTACTTCTTTACTTGCTGTCGCATCTAAAAACCATACCGTATTAGATAGTTATTCCACTTATAGAAAATTAAAAATTAGCAAGAAAGCCTAAAATGATTGCCTTTATATACAAATGAAAAAAAGATCACTTCTCAATTAGCTTTCATTTATGCAAGAGTTATAAGCTAGGTCAAATTAAAATCGATTAAAAACTGATTAAAAGTCGATGCAATCATATGATTCTTATAAAGATCCAATAATTTTTTAACCAGTTTTAATCTTTGACAATTGAAAAACTGAAATTTCATTGTATATCACTATTATTTCTGCATATAATCAAGGTAAGCTGCATAAAAGCATCGACTCCAATTGATTCTTCTTGGTGATAAATGCAAAGGCTTCTTTCGATCTTTACCGATTTTCATAAATTGTAATCAATTTTTCTATGAAGTTTTAATCAATCATAATCTGAAAAATGGAATGAATCAATAAAAATATTTTTGCTTCCTCTATTTTATTAAAAATCAGCTAAAAAATGATTAAAAGACGAGCAAAATCGGATGCTTATAGTTAACACTCAAAGTGATTTTAGTCGATTCCAGTCTGACTTCACCTCCTTTTTTTTAATGATGAGACTTGATTAGTCCAACACGTTGAGCCTACCCTAGATCGAAATCGTTCCGCCGCCTATGTTTGAAGGTGCAGGAGTAGATGTATGCCTTTGTTGATTTCTGATAATTTCATTTTTATTGCTTACATTGGATTTTGATTGAAACCATGGATGATTATTTTTTATAACTTCGTTTGGTAATGATGATAAATAATGTTCATTGATAGTATCAATTTTTGACGAATTAGTAGATGTTAACAAAGGTTTTTCATTAGTTGAAGTTATTGAAGTAAAAACTGATGCATTCTGTCGTGGTGAAAAAGAAGCGGTATTTGCCGTTTGTTTCTTTTATTCACTGTGTACTTGTATCTACGATTTCATATTTTTTTAGATAGAATGCAGTTGACGTAGGTCGTAATGTTGTACTTGGAATAAAAGTTAAAAAAACTGAAAGAGTTTTCATTTGATTCGTTAAAGATGTTATTGTTGTTGGTGATAGAATTGATCAAGATTGATTTGTTGTCAATGGAAGGAAAATCGTTGAAGGTTTATCATTTGGAATTGGTAGAATACCAGGTGGTAGTGTAATTGTTATTGTCTGAATCGATGCAGTAGGAATATTTCTATTGGTATATCCATTATGAATAAGTGGATCTACTATAAAATGTAAATGATGATAAGAAAATTCGATAAAAACTGATTGATAAAAGGAAGTTTATGTGATCTATATGCGACAATTGCAGTTATATCATTCTTATCGAAATTAGAATATGTGAAAGCTCTTTTCCGATTTAGCAGCTTGTTTTTATTCCTATAGTTATCATAATTTCTGTATTTTGTTTTATTTTGAGTACAAGATTTAGAGTGAATAATCTATGAAGTTCAAGAAATGTTCTAAATAACCTTTTTCAAATTAAAAATCTGTTTGTTCATTAACGTTCATTATTGTTTTTTGTTTACTTGCTTTTTGAACAAGAATTGGTTTATCAAATGATATTGTTTGTATGTTCATTAGTGACGAATTTATCTTTTCAAGATTTGTTAATATAGTTAAAAATCATTTTTTTAAAGTACAAACATTGATGACAATCAACATATTTTACCAGACATACTTTTATACATATTTCTATAAGTTGTGGTTAGTCTATCTATTTTAATCAATCAAATGAATTATTTTACATAAAAATCAATATATTACTTTGTTGTTGAATGACTGTTAAAAGACTTTGATGAATTGATTCAAGTAATTGTGACGATTGTTGAACGGTATTTGGATCAAGCCTTGTAAAACGTTGATCAATAGCATCTTTCAGTTTAACTAAAGAATAAAGAGTCAATATGAATGAAATATGAGACAAAGTTTGTTTACTAGGAAATTGTTGAATATCATCATAAATTAATTCTGATTCAGGTGCACAACGAATAAAATGTTTGTGTAAGTGATAATAAAAAATTAAATATATCTTGTTGATTACTATGTATTAAATTAAGACAATCATCTGGGCCTGGCCGAAGAAATATATTAACTGCATAAACAAACGGATGAACTCTATAGAATAAAAAACAAACTATTATGAAAATTGCTCAAATGAAGATAGTTGTACTGATGAGCTAGTTCGAAGAGTAATAATCTTGGTCGACCGAAATTATTCGATGTTGATACATCTAGTTTCATCATTGATTTATTTAGACCATCTAGCATAAAAAGAATGTATTATCTATGAATATTAGTAAAAAGAAAAACGACATGTTCATTGCCAGTCCCTCGCTGTCTTATTCATTTTTTTAAATCCAATCGGATTTATTGCTATCTTCGAGACGCATTGATATCAGCGATTCTTACATTAACGTTATGATCAACTTAGTTCCAAATTTAAGACCAGAATATATTTCATAATCAAAAAATCAGAGTAGGGAATACCCTCACCCCTGAATTGATCAGTTGCAAGCCGTGACTTTTATATCATACTTGAAATAAATTCTATCTTTACTTTATCTCAAGATACAAATTTTCCTTTATAATTGAAATTATATCATAACTTGTTGATAAATGATGAATATTCATTGAACTTAATATATCAGATGAATTGATTAGAACTTATTGAGCTAAGATACGTTCATGATCACTGTCGATTTGATCACGTTGAAACATAATTATTCATTTAGTTGTTTTTGCCCAAAATAAACAATAAAAGGATTTGTTTGAAAAGTATAAATTTTAATTTAAATTGAGTTTTGACGGTATCCATTGCTTCATTTGAACTATTAGTTAGTTGGATAGTCAAAGAATTTGAAAGAATATTATTTGATTTGATTCTATGAGAACTTTTGGCTACAGGAGACATAATACCAGTTCGTGTCAGACTTAGAGCCCATCGGGTCCAAGAATTTATGGATCTGGCCCCGGACCAACGGGGAAACATGATACTTTTTTACTTTAAGGTACGGTAAAGTACCTTAAAATATCTCAAAGTATCTTAAAGTACGTGAAGTATGAAGTATCATGTTTCCCCCTTGATTAATTTCATTTGAAACCGCTGTAAGTGCACTGTTTAGCGGAACGGGTAGTAACGAATAAAAAACAAATAACGAGAAATATTTTACATTAATACACACTTTTTTTACAGTGTCAAACTCATTAAAACACACGATCATATTGGATGTGATGAGATGCGAATCTAGATTTTCAATGATCAGAGAAAAATAATGAAAAAATGTGAATTACCGCTAAACGTGTGCATTTGTTACGGTCGAAGTTAGAATTCAGCCCAATTCGGAATTAGTTCAGACGAAGTTGGAATAATTTTTAAATGAATAAAAAAGACTAAAAAACGACAAATCATTCTTTTTCACAAGTTATGTGTAAAAATAAATATAACTTTCGATAATTTATATTGATTGTAAATATAAATTATACAAAATTTTATTTATTTTCAAATACGAATTATGAAAAAAGATTATTTATATTTATTTTAAACTAACAGGAAAATGACGCCCATACCGAGTGGGTATGAGTGTGTTGTGATGTAAAAGAAGCGGCACACCCACGTCTCTCATACACCCAACAGCCAAACGATGATTCCAATTTCGTTCATAAACATTTCAGTCAAAGTTAGAATTCCTATTTCGTCTAGACAAAACTAGAATTCCAACTTCGTGTTTCGTCTGGACGAACTTCGAATTGGGCTGAATTCTAACTTCGGCCATAAAATGTACATATGCTTTTGCCTGTGTGGAAAAAAAGAGAATGTGCACCTATTTGTGATGATGCATAGAAATGTGCCACAACACCAAGCAACAATACGCTGAACGTTAAATATACAACTCGCCAAGAAAGAAAAAATTGAAGAATAGAGTTGCGACAAATCAAAATAAATTATCTTTTTCTCCTCGCAGCCATAAGCATATATAACGTTATCTATTTATATATTATTCTTTTGTTAGTCTGGCTCTAGAAAAAGAAATACAATCAACAGCTGCCTTCACTATTCTTAGCTGCAAAAGAGAATAGTTAAACGGTCGGACTGCATGCTTTCACAATTGAAAACAGTTGTGCCAGTAGACACAGCACGGTCGACAGTATGTATTTTCGTATGTAATTAGAGTTCATCTAACATGTAAAAATGCATGTTATTCGTCGTCGTGCAAAAGCTGTAACTTTTTGGCGAAAAGATCACAGGATATGAAAATTAGATGGTGGATAGAACAAGTGTCGAACTGTATTTTAGTATAACTTGAGTTTATGTTGCTATGAAAACAATAGGAGTGGCGTGAGGGAAAAGGTATTTATTTGGATAAATATATAGAAAACTTTTTTTTTTATCACATTTGACGTTATACAGTCAGATGCTCCATGGGCTGCTCTATCTATCAAATGACGAAAGCCCGAAGTTAACATGTATCACGAATGAATAGTTATTCAAAAATATGGTGGTTAGCATTTTAAAATACATCCGACAATAGTTGAGTAAATCTTACTATTTTGTACCGAACAATAATATTGTACATCTTTTCATAAAACGAAATATAATATCTAATTAGGCAGAGAAAATTTACCGAAGTATCAACAAAATACTGAAATCATTATTTATTCTATCCAACTAGTTATCAAACATTATTCTAAATAAAATACATATTAACATGCAAATGAGTTTCAAATACGAAGATTTACGTAGAAAAGATTTCAAAAAAGTGTGCAATATCGGCTAAATAAAATCCTTTTGAACATGTATGCATTCTTTCATACACTTGAACTGCTGATTAAATATTTCATTAACAGATTCAACACAACTTCAAACTGTGTCAACATAAAATCAAGTCATACTACAGTTTAAATATCAATCATCGCTTGTATGCTTGACATGTTAGAAAATATTTGAAGAAGGACTTGGCAAACACGCTTAATTATTATTCGTTTCTTTTAGCAAAGTGATCTCACTGTTAAGTATTACTTGTTTCAAATAACTGTTTGTACATTCTCAAGATTGAAGCACCATCTTTTGATTTTATTTCTAGTAAATTCAAAGAGCTAATGCGTGTTATTTTGACGTCACAACAGTAAGCGTCTAGACATGACGAAATGCTGTCAGATGGCAAACGCGTGTATAAAGAAGGAAAGCAAAAGAACATAAGAACAACATTGGTTTCTTCTATATAGTTTTTTTTCTGGGTGTGCGCTGTATGTTTGATAAGTAAAGGGCAAAGAAGCTTTTTCTAATTAATATTTACTGTTTCCCATAACATGATTGTAATAAATATCTCAAGCAATTTACGTTCATAAACTTTTTTTTTATAGTAAACAAATAAAACTGTATTAGTCATGTTTTTGGTCGAAGTCGATCGTAATGGATGTTTTTGTTTTTCATTTTTTATCATCTGATTAAATGAGTCACGGTGAAAAAACGTATTTTCTTACGAAATTACAAATATATTTTTTACTAAACATATTTATCATGACATATTTCAACAAATAGAAAAATGAGATCAAGTATCTCATTCATGAATTTGTTGAGAAAATATCTGAAACTTGAATGTTTATTTTCGAACTTTAATGTTTTAGATCTTTTTCTGTTCATTTAGAATTTGTATTTGTAATTCGTTACTCTAAAGTATCATAAAATGATTTCTTCAACAAATCTTCATATATATTCTTCAAATGAAATGCTAGCAGCTGGTTTTATTTATATCAATCGAGGAGATACAACTCGTTGTGTCTTGTGTGAATTAGAAGTATCGGAATGGACATTTGATATGGATCCATTGACTATACACGTAGAACGAAGTCCTCTTTGTGCATTCGTTCATAATTGGTTACCATTAAATAAATGTCAAAAACCAACTCCTTTGCAATCGCCACCCAAATTAGATTTGTTTATACGTACGTATGAGAATTTGTTTTTGGAACTACTGCGTTTAATCTGCAAATTTCTTTCATTTTGTTTTCTATTGAAGGAGCATCCAAACGACAAAAGACAGAAGTAACGCCAATCTTGTACGAAGTAGATAAACTTAAAAAAATTCGTCATCGCTCATTTTACTGTTGGCCTCATTCAACATCATTTCGTTCTCGAATGGTCGAAGCTGGGTTTTTCTCTTGCAATATTCGAGATCGAGTCATTTGTATATATTGCGATCTTATTTGTCAAGAATGGAATATTGAATTAGATGATCCATGCGAAGTACACACAATACTCTCACCGAATTGCTTATTCGTCAAATATATACCTCACTGTGATGCATCACACGATAAAAGAATTGTATCCAAATTACCAAGTTACATGTATTATGTAGATCCTGAAAAACGACAAGCATCTTTTTCTAATCATTCTTATGACGGACTTCAATCAATAGATAAACTTGTTGATGGAGGTTTCTTCTATGATGGTACTAAAGTAATATGTTTCTATTGCAGTGGTTCATTCGATAATGAGGGATCGAGTAACCATCCAATCGCTGAACATCTACTACGGTTTCCATACTGTCAACATGCTAGACAATTATGCGGTGAAGAACTATATCATAAATTAATACAATCAACAAAATATACGTCAGGTTTGTAAAATCTCGATTAGTCTAGACTTTTTGATAAAAGAAATTTCTTTGATAAATCAGTTGTTATTTTTATTTATCTAGAAAATTTAAAAACTAGAGACTTCATAAAGAATCAATATCCATCGAATAATATTGATGATGAAATACTTTTGAAACTTGTTGATGATTCTCTTGGTTTACCTACTTCGAAATATTTATTGGAACTGCAAAAATTTGAACGATCAATCCTTGAACATTGCTGGAAAGATCTACTTCAACAGAAAAGTAAAAAATCAAACAATTTTATTTTATTCGTTTTTTTTAATCAATATCTTGTTCATTAAGATTGTAATCCTATCGATATTTGCGATTTATATTTTTCGTGCGAAATTTTCAGAAAACAATGTGAACTCATTGAAATGAAGCAGAAGGACATTATTGTTCCGAATATTGTACTGAAAGAATTTTACGAGAATAAACGAAACTCCTCTTTCATAAGTGAATATCCATTGCCATCTAATTCGTTGATTATCTCAAATGGAGCAGATAGTTGTAAGTAGAAGATTATTATTGTAATGAAAAAAAGTATAAATTATAATTGAAATATAGATATAATGGATTCGTTTGAAAGTGATCTTGAAATCTATAGAACAAATCGGCAAAGTATGATTTATTTTGAATTAATGAAAGAAATCATTTTTATTTTATTTCTCTTTCGAAACATAGAACTAGCAAATACATTCATGGAAAACATAGATATAACAATAGAACGTGAAAAGTCATTATCGACGTGGTCACTCATAAAACCATCACGATTCGATTTAACACAAGGAGGTTGGGTCATATCTGAGACAGATGGCTACTCGAAATGTCCTCATTGTCAAGTACACTATTGCAATTGGAATATGAATGATAATCCTTTACTCATACATAAATATCTTTCTCCACTCTGTTTATTTGTCCTATCGCCCAATCCCTTCAACTCAAATCCAATACCAATAAGAAAAATAGCAGAACATTTCACTGATGAAGATATTATCAATGCTGAATCTCAGCCATATAACGGTCTTGTTCAACAGAGACATGAATGGATGTCATCAATTTTTCAAAGACAAAATTCATTCCAAAGATATCCTGGTGGTTGCCCCACTAATGCTTATGAACTTGCAAAATCTGGCTTTTACTATACAAATCATGGCAGATTTATCACGTGCTTCTATTGTAGAAATAATATATTTGCGTTCATACCTCGTACACGATCTGATCGATATCTGGAACACTTACCTCACTTATTTCCATGCCGTTATATTCAACAATTCAATGATGTTGATTCAGAATCATGGACACATCAAGGTAAAATACATGATCGATTCTAAACATAGACAATATAACGGATGATATTCAACATTTTTTCTTTAGTTTCAAATAAATGTACATGGTGTATGGTTGAAAAAAAAAGACTTATGGCGTTACCATGTCGTCATTTTTGTTTATGTGAATCATGTGGTCAAGTCAAACGTTCATGTCCTGTATGCCAAAAGAATGTAACAGTATATATCATAATTTATTTACCTTGATAATACGACTGATGGGTTCATAAAAATATGACTGATCGGGCAAATTTTTATCAATCAAGTGAAAAAACTTTACTGGTGATGATGATGATGATGATCTATATTTAGTATTGTTCCATGACAATGGTTATTTGTGGAATTATAACATGCTGAATATGGCGATTGTATAATATGGATGTAATCAAAATATAAAAATATTATTCATACCTGATGAACAAATTTTCTAGTTGATTTGAATATAATGTAGTTATCAGAGATATTCTTGTCAACTTTTTTTCCAATAAAAATCAACCGGAAGAACGAATTTGAACTCTCAATGGAACTATGAAGGCTGGTATAATAATAATAAAAACTCTAGCTTGAAGTATATTGAGTCACATTTTAACAACTAATGAATGATAAATAATTTTTATGCACTTAATTTTGTTGAGCAATATTAATGATATTTGTCTATGTTTATAGTAAAACAGTTTCTATAAATATAAATAAATATATATAAAAGTGTGAAATATTAAAAATGATTCAAAAACTCCTGTGAACATGATGCTCTTTAAATTAGTATCCTAAATTTTGTGATTTCAAAAAACGTTATTTTTAAATTCATGATTGTAATACTTTTTCAGTATAGACTTTAGTTCAAACTGAGTCAAATAGCTTATTTCCAGTAAATAAAACGACATTTTGTTTTTATCTATCTTTATTCACGGCAATTATAAGCATAAGACTATAGTCTAAGAAGTACGAATATCCCAAGAATAATGTTACTTGAAATTCGTATGCCCAAAAACATTATGAAATGAATATATCTAATGTCAAATTTAATCATAAATACGTAGCAATGCTTTAATGTTTGATCCACAAGTTGGGCACAATTTTAAGCCATGTCCACATGGTATGCATACAGCAAAATGACCGCAAGGCACAAATGCTAACATTCGACGACTTGTAGAACAGACAATACATAAATTCGTAGGAATATTGGCGGAGGTATTCTTAGACAAAGAGCTGGTAGTCGATTGAGACAATGATTTGTTCTCACCATTGGATTGGCTTGGTTTTGTTTTAGAGTTCTCATTCACGACTAACTCATTGTTCAATTTACAAACATCATCCAGTGATTTCATACACATCCAGTTGTAAATATCTTCGAATTCTGTAAGTAAACAGATAAAAAAAATAAAATATGATTTGATTCAATACGAAATTTAGCAAACAAAAAGAAAAGCTAGGTGTACTGTTGATATAAAGAAATTATGAGCAATCAAGGTTTGCAAGAGGTTTATAATTTGAGACGTTTTTAAAATATAACTGCATCCTTTTTTTGCAATATATTTGTAACAGCTCTATATCAAAACAGCTGACATATGAAACATATGTTATTGCGACTGAAGTGAAGTTTTAAGAAATTCATAAAATACAATAAACGATATATTGAATGACTACAAATATGTCATAAGAACCGATAATTAGTTCTGTTTGTACATAAACAGTTAGCTATCGGTTGTTTTGGTTGATTCACCTCTTACGATCCAGTAAACTGCGCGCAATCATGTTTTTTTTTCGTTATGAAATAAACGCAATGCTAATATTTCACTTATTAATTTTTTTAATTTATCGATGCAGTCATATACTAAAGATTTAATACTGACAATACCAGTAGTTGGTTTCATTTGATGCATGTATGTAATAGTTGTGTCGAAAGTAAAGTTTTTCATGAATTTCAGTTTTTAGAAGGAACGGTTTGAATACGAAATAGGAAGCAAGAAAAATTAATTTTAATAAATACTTTTCTTCTTTGATAAACCACTAAAGCGTCATTTTTCTAGCGATTCCAAAGAGCCTAGAAAACTAGAAATGAATATTTTTTATCTTCTGAGTGATTCTGTATTTTATGTACTTTTTTCAAACTTGGAATATTCCAAGTGAGTTGCTGACATAATAGACGATCTATGGATTGGGTTCATTTTTACCAATCAGAAAATATTTTCCTATCTAAAATTAATTATCTAATGGAATTTTGTGTAGGATTATTTTTTAAATTTATTTCCTTTCATATTTTTGGAAAAATAAAAAAAAAGTTTCTTTTAAAGCATCTAAACAAACAACTGTCAAGTCATCAGTTGTACAGGTCGTCTACTTCCCTTATTATTATTGTTTGTGATCTATAAGATGCATTTCTAACTGACACTGAAAATACCACTGCATAGTCAGTGACGTATTCCATAGAAAAGAATCATGCAAATCGATCAAAGTGAATTTCTTTTCGGGAGAATCTTTCTTCTTGCGTCAATTTGCACGAGTGGGCGTCAGAAGGTGTCTGAGCTTTTCGAGTATTTATTCTAGTGTAGAAAAGCTCTCATCTACTTATAAGTCGTCTATTTCACGCATTGTATACAAGAGAAGAATATAAATGAAAAACCGCGAATCATTGGTTATAACTAGACTACCTCGAGAATTTTCGAAATTGAAACAAGAACTTTATTCATCATCCACAGACTTGTGTTTCTCTTAGCACTCTTAGCATGCTGAAATGCTTTCTTTGATTTCCGCAATTATAAATCTACTTTTGAGATAAATATTATTTACTGAAAGACGTTATCGTAAGCATCTCAGTGATTCATAGCACACAAATCTAATAGTTTCAAGGCGGAATAAAAACAATTTAAAGACTAGATGAAATATCGAATATTTCGAAACTTCGCCAGAACCGCAAGTGTTTTTAAGTATCACAAAACGTGAAGATTTCTAACATTAATGCTAAACAAGATTTAGTGACTTAGGATAGGTAAGATTAAGTTTCGAAAGATATAGTGTCATGACCTGGCCTCAGACTTTGAACAATAATATTTTGTAAAATGTTAGTAGAGTTCTTCAAATAGTTCTTAATTGAATATCTGTAAACATTGTATAGCAAGGTCATGAGTGGTTGTGATATCTGCAAAACATTTTTAGATTACAATCGTAGCTAAATATTCTGATATGTTGATAAACACCTAATTATAATAAATACGGATATTTTCGAGCATCTGCAAGCGTTTAACTTGTTTTCTGCATGAAATGTAATTTATTTCACTCACATAAATATCATCAGTAACTGCCAATTTTTAGTTCATTATCTATTAATTAAGGTTCAATTAACAGCTAATATAATAGTTCATTCAAAACTATAGAATATTACACAAATATCTTCGGTAAAGGTTGAAAAAAGTTATTTTTGATTTCAGACTTGAACTTTGTTTCAAATATTTCTGTATCCTTTAGTATCATTCTCTGTGTACAAAATCAGAACTCAAACTAAAGTTATCCTAAGCATTTTCAGTCTAATTGCGCATTGACATTTGAAACGAAAGATTTCTTCCTGTTCTACAGGAATGCAGACGATAGAACATCATCATAACAAAAATAAATATTTGCTATGCTCATCCACGATTTATAATCACTCTGTACTGAGCAACATATATAGCCTATTAGATGTCAGGCCATGACTTGAAATTAGTTGTACTATTATCGTATTGCAATACTTATGAATCATTATTTTAATTTTATCAAGTTCTCGTGTACATTCAATCGAATGCGTCGTTTTAGAATTTTTAAAATTTACTAAAACGAACCGTGTAGGTTTTATTCGAATAAGATTCTTCTATTATGTTTATTTCTGACATTGTTACCAATAAATACTTTCTGAAAAGAATCGTATGCTTGTTATTAGTAATATTCATATAATCCTTGCCCCTTTCAATCATTTTTATTTCTTTTCATTATGTACTATAAAAGTTTCAACTGAACTGATTCAGAGAAAATAACACATAACAATAAAATGATCTTCTTAATTTTATTTCTTAAATAAAGTAGTTGAAGATCTGTTCTGTAATGAACCGTTATGGAAGAGAAAAATGAAATTATGAACTATCTAAAAAAGTTCACATAACAAAAAAAAAGGTTTGCTTTTTGATGAACAAAGGAAAACAAAGAATATCACTAGGAAAAACAATCAAACAATAACAAAAATTTTTAATTTTTATCATGAAGACAATTTGGTAAGAATATCAAAAGCACCTGTACCACATTGAACCATACGTCCAGTAACTAAACGAGACGACGGAGATTGTAATTCTTCATGTTCACCTAAACAAAATGCATAAACATATATTTTTTTGAAAATAAACGATTCTATATCATGATTTTTTTACCGTGTAATAACGCTTCTCTTAAATAAGTTGTTGATGTTTCAAATGTAATTTTTTGTAATGGACTTGCATTTGTCCTTAAACCTAAACGATTACATGGCTTATAAACACCTTCGTATGTCATATAATCGGCTAATAATGATAAATGTCTGTAATCAACTTCAATTCCATAAGCACCGAAGACTCGATTTATTTCACGTATTAAAGTACGATTAGCTGCTTCAATACCAAATATCTGTGCCATACGATGAATGTTATTTGTATATATTCGACGTAAATCAAATATTTGATAATATGTCATTAATGCATTGATATTTTCTCCTTCGGTTGAAAGAATATATTCAGCATCGTTAGAGTCCTTGTTTGTCTTTGCACGATATTCTTTATTTTCTGCAATAAAACAATTTTGAATGCCAACAATTGATGTTATCGGTGTTCGAGATGTTTCACTACGAATCAATGATTCAAGATCAATACGTGGTTGAGTAGCAGGAAATATCATCGTTAATCGGCACCATAAATTATTATCAAGATCAGCGATATATTCATGTATGTATTCGGCATGCTTACAAACATTCTAAAACCAAGAATCAATTTTAATATATGAATCAAAATTTATGTTTATTTTTCGTTGCACTATACATACACCGAAGCGTTCGTTATAAATTGTATTATCCACATGAGTATTTTTATCATTTATTTTTCTTGCTTTTTTCCTTGGTGGCTCCTCGTCGTTACCTTGATCATTGCCAGGTACTTCTTGTTCATCATCATCAACATGATTCATTTCTGCTTGAGTTATATCCAATGCTATTTTGAAAAAAAGAGAATCTTGCTTACATTAATATGAATTCCTAACATAATATTAATAAAGAAAGATTCGTTTTAGTTTGTGTGCGATGTCATTCTAATCTGTACGATGATAAATATGGATGATTCATCTTGTTCTACATGTAGACAAACAGTTTAGCCGCTTTAGCATTCAGATAATACTATCTTAATTAAGTTTTAACAATTTATAGATAATTGGAAATGAATTTGATTCTTAAATTTTTGCTATCGAAATCTTACTTTTCCGAGTTAGTTTTCAACGTAGCCTCACTGTTTTTTTCTCTTAATATTGAAATAAGAGTTTTACTTAGAGACAGATCTGAATGATTTTAGTTCTTTGAGAAAGTTTCATACACAATAGTAGATTCAATATTTTTACTAGCATAGCAACAGATCAAAGAATCAGAAACGTTCAGAGCAAATATTCTAATTAAGGTTTCCCTCTATGAAAAGTCTCAAGATGAAATTCCAACAACTATTTATCATCAAGGAAATTAAATATTTTGAAAAAATATTTATAGTTAATTAGCATTTAGATGATACGCATAATTTCAATTCACAAGAAAATCTTTGTAGTACTTAACAATATATATATATATATATATATATTAGTGAAAAATATAATCGTACAAATTCATCGTGTAGAGTGAGGTTTTTCTCATTAGAGTAAAAAAAAATATGTAACTGTCGTATCCAACGATCTGTTCAAAGCAGATAATGATCAGATCAAAGAGTAAAACTCATGATTTCAGCATTCCTACATGATCTTTCTGAACTATCTTCTATAAGATTACCTTGTATATCATCATCAATAACATCTTCTTTAATCGTAATTTTCGATACATTTGTTTGACCATTTTCCTCTGAATTATCTTGTATTGCTTCTTCATCATCAGTTTCATTTTCATTATTATTATTATTATTATTATCATCATCATCATCATCATATTCTTTTTCATCATTTCTATTAGCTTTTTCTTTGGCTGTACTGGCTTCACCATTAATTTGTTCATCATCGTCGTCGTCATCGTCATCATCTTTTTCACCCAATTCTTGTTGTTCATCTTTATCATTTGACTCGTTCACTGTTACTTTATCACGGATATGTGCTG